TCGAAGAAGATTTGTCCTAGAATACACTCTTCTTTCATTTTAGATGTAACCACAAGATCTATTTCGAAAACAGTTCCCTTAATAATGACATGAGCATCCCGAATAACTCCTAGAACTTGTAATGGCATACCCGTTATCCCCACTAGTTTGAAAGTGGCGTTTTTAACCAGGTATAAGAGATTATGTTTTTTGACGAAGTCTTCGCTTACTAAGTTCATAGAGGCTCCAGTATCTAGGAGAAAGGTTGTATGGATGTCAAATATGGAAGCATCTAGATATACATATCCATTGCACGAATTCACAGATGTGTCATGTTTCAGCGTATGTGGCGGTAGATCCTCCCTCCCTCTAGGGGAGGGGTAAATTAGTTTTTTGGGACTGTTGATGTAGTTTTGGAGTAGAATCTGCCGTTGCTAGCAGCATCTTGAGTATTACAGTTCCATTCTTGCACTGGTCTTTGGTTGTAGGGTGCCGGTCCATATGGACTCCATAATCAGAATATGCATTTATTCCATTGTACGGGAGGGGTGGATTAGTACAGTGGTTGGTGGGTGAGTCTGGTGGGAGCTGTCCATGTAACTGAGCTTCATCGAAATGTACTCGAGCATCCTGGTTTGAGGCGTAATTTCTAACGTTCGTTTCAGATAGTTCTGGTCTGGTGTGGTTGCCTTTTCCCGGATACCCTCTAAATTCTGTTTCACTGTGGTATCCTCTCTGTGATTGAAACCTACTTAGGTCACTAACCCGGTTTCTGCAATTTCGGATTATGTGCCCAGCCATTCCGCAATAGTGACACGAGAACTTTCGATGGTTCCGGTTGGGTGGACTGGAGCGAGGATCTTTTAGTGGACAGTCGATGATATAATGCCCCGGTCTCTGACATCCATAACAGATAACTGTGGGTCTCCCAGAATGTCTGTTATCTCTTAGATTGTCATTGTAAGAGTTCTGAGGCTGGTTACTTCGTATGGGATTCGGGTCGTAGTAGAAAGCGGGTTGATGTGCAGTAGGGTGTTGATAGGGGTGGTCAGAGTGTTCATCGTTTGCGTATAATTCAGGTCTTCGAATGGGGTGCTGGGGAAGGAATGAGTTGTTACTAGCGGTAATGGTATCTGCTGCAGTGGTTCTCTCGTTCTTTAGTACCGACACTGTAATATCATCGCCTTCTTTAAGAGTGGATCTGGCTCGATAAGCGCAGTCCAATTTCACTGCCACCTCGAGATTTCTGGCAAACGTGTCGTCTGCGTTCCCTATTAGGACAATAGAGATTTCATCTCGGAGAACTCCACCCGAGAGTGCGTCAATCAGAGCTGATTCCATGGCTGCTTGGTTGTCAGAACGGTAACCGAGTCTTCCCAGGTCTCGTAGCCTCTCACCAAACTGGGCCACGGTCTCGTCAGCTCGTTGGTTTGCTTTCTTTAGTTCAAACCTTGCTTGTACGGCTTCACGAGGAGAGCTTAGAGCCCTGATTACTTCGTCTTTGAAGGTGTTCCAATCATCCTCGGTAGCAGAGTCCATAGCTTGAACTATAGCTAGAGACTTAGGGTCCAGATAAGTCTGAAATGATTGTACGGCGTTTGCGTCCTTTAGTCCAACGACTCGCCTAAAGGGTTCGAAACATTCGAAGTACGCAGTGATGGAGGTTTTAGCAGGGTCAAAAATCTCTGGTCTTCGAGTTCAACAAAGTCAACAAAGGCTTTTTAGAATATGGGAACTTAACACAAGTTCATTCGTATCTCTCAAAACGGGTCAGACAGACTTATTTTACAATCGTAGCCACGGACGGCTATGGAGTTGAAAGTAGTGTTATGTGAGTCGTGTTTCTCAATTGTGATTGGCTGATGTTAAGATAGTGTTAAGACGGTGAAAGGTGAAGGTAGTTACTTAGTCTTAAGGTTTCTGAGAATGAATTCGTGAGGGAGGTATTACTAATAGGTGTTAACTTGAAGTGTTGAAACTTGTAGGCAATGCTTTGTGAAATTAGTATGAGTTAATTTGAAGCCGTCCGGGAATAAAACATGAAATATTAGAATTAAAATTAAGAAATGAAATTATATGCTCTACAAGGTTGACGCTGATAATGCGTTCAATCGTCTTAATAGAGAAGCAGCCCTTCACAATGTTCATGAGATCTGTCCTCCGCTCTATCAGTATCTAAAGAACCACTACCAAAAGCCAGCAGACCTGATCATTAATACTACCGAGGACCACTACCAACTAAAGTCTGAGGAAGGTTCAACTCAGGGAGATGTAGCAGCAATGGCATTCTATGCGTTAGGGATCAAGCCTCTAGTAGATGACCTAGCCACAGCCTCCAAGCCCAGTGTTTGCAAACAGTCTTGGTATGCAGACGACAGTAGTGCTGGTGGAAAGATTGAAGGTATTAAGATATGGTGGGATACGCTGTTGGAGCAAGGACCAAAGTATGGATATTACCCAAAAGCCAGTAAGACCGTCCTGATTGTGAAGAATAGCGAGGACCTAGATCTTGCGCAGAAAGTATTCTCAGGCACTGGTATTAAAATTGAGTCTGAAGGAGAACGCCATTTGGGTGCAGCAATTGGCAGCGAAGCTTTTAAGAACAAATATGTCTCAGATAAAGTCCATAAATGGTGTCAGGACATCAAGCTGTTGTCATCAATTGCTGTTGAGGAGCCCCAAGCTGCTTTGACTGCATATACTAAGGGAATTTGTCACCGGTGGACGTTCATTCAGAGGACCATCCCGGGTATAAGTCACTTGTTTCAACCATTGGAGGATTGCATCAGAACAGATTTTATTCCAGCAATCTTGGGTAAGAACGTATCAGACTTGGACCGCTCCATATTTGCATTGCCAGTCAGACATGGTGGCCTAGGTATCTCCAACCCAGTTGAAAACTGCAATAGAGAATTCACAGCCTCAGTCACCATCACAAAAGACCTCACAGACCTGATTATCAACCAGCAATTTAACACCCTTGAACATTACAACATGTCAATTCAAAATGACACTATAAAAAGTCTCAAGGCAATCAAGGAGAAACACTTATTTACGGTTAGCAAATCAATAGAGGACAGTGTAAGAGATCCCAACCTAAAGAGATCTCTCCAGTTCATCAAAGAGAAAGGTTCAGGATGTTGGCTTACTGCACTTCCATTGAAGAGATTTGGCTACTCCCTGAACAAGATTGAGTTCCGTGATGCTCTGTACTTGCGTTATGGTTGGGAGATCCCTAACACCCCATTTCACTGTGCTTGTGGAGAGAGAAATAATGTGAATCACACACTTATATGCAAGAAAGGTGGCTATGTTTCTATGAGACACAACAACATCCGCGATCTAAATGCAGAGCTGCAGCGTGAAGTATGCAGAGATGTAGTGACTGAGCCAGCATTGATACCCCTTGATAATGAAGAAATTGTTGGTACCAATGCTGATAGAGCTGCACCTGATGTATCCTCACGAGGTCTCTGGAGCACATTTGAACGAACATTCTTTGATGTCTGTGTTACCCACCCCAACTCACCCACATATGACAAAAAAGATATGGAACAGATCTATAAAGCTCATGAAATGAGGAAAATGAAAAAGTACAACAACAGAATCATCCAGGTGGAAAAAGGCACCTTTACCCCACTTATATACTCAACAAATGGCGGATGGGGTCCACAAGCCACAAGATACCACAAGAGACTCGCTGAAAAACTATCCCAGAAGAGAGGAGAAGACTATGCGGCTATTCAGTGTTACATGCGCACCAGGATTAGATTCTCAATCCTCAGGAGCACCCTGATAGCGGTCAGGGGTGAGAGAGGGAGACGGCAATCGTATACATTGCCAGTCAGTGTAACTTCGTTTAACTTGATACCTGCCACCATGGACTATGAATGTTTCTAGACACTATCCTTTTGATATTGAGATATTGGTATCTCAGATCACGTGTACATCGTTCCTTTTTTATGACACAGTAATTTATTGACACTCACAGCTATAATTTTAATCATTGAATCAGTATTTTTATCTGTGCTCTGCGTAATGCATCACATGAATCAGTTTTTTAATCTATTAACTTATTACACATTTGTGCTCTGCTTTAGCATCACTTGACTATTTAATAAAATTGTTTGTTCAGGCCATGACCTTATAGTCAACCAATTGGCCATTGCTATATTATGTGTATATTGTTTGAATATTCTATCTACTCCATCATAGGGGCAGGGATGAGGTTATAAGAGACTTCTGATAGTGGTGTCTCCTTCAACCTGATACCTGAGGAGAAGAGCTACGAGGGATAGATGATATCTATTGCTCAGGATTTACGATTGTGCTCTGCCAATTGCAACACTTGATTTAATTTATTGTATACTATATTTTTTTGGGTGTCTCATATTTGCTGTCCATTTTTTTTCCTCTGTACCCTCGTAGAGCTATGAGTGTGGTTCTTAACATAGCGAATCTTATTCTTGTCCTTACATGTCTTACCACATCGCAATACCTCTCTTTTCTTTTCCTGGCGATGAGGTCTGCCACTCTATTTAGAAACCGCTTACATTCTTTGGACATGCCTCCAGTTGTGAGAAATACGGCTGGGGTGAAAGTGGCCTTCTCTACGTTCAACACTCTCTCCAAGTACTCATCCTTCTTCTCCTTTTCGTTCTCTTCGTATACTTCTTGAAGAGTTTTGGTCCTGTTTGATCTAAGCAATTGGGGTGTGAAACCCTTATGTCAAGAAAGGTCCTAGCTGAAAGTGTTCTCACTTTATGGTGACAATAGCGAAAAAGAGGGATTGGCATGCCACACCCACTGTAATTAAGGGTTGCATGTGGGCAGTTACTTCTGGGCCACCCTGTACTATATGTTTTGATTCTTAGTCCTTAGAAGGGAACTCTATTAAGAGTTTTTGAATGATTTGAATGTCCTGCACAGCAGATCGTAGCATCTCTAAATTATTTACTATTTTATTGTATTGCTGTGTAAATTTGAATCTAATTCTAATTCTAAATCTAATTCTTACAAGGCTCAATAAATGTAATAGATTTGCAGTGTTGTAATTAGTTTAAAACTGATTATCCTATTTTAGTCATGGCATCAGTTGTCCAGCCTGAATATGAAGAAGCAGAATCTCCCATGCAGGTTAATAATTATTGATTATATGATTTATTTTGAACATTAAAAGAAAGCTTACAGTTGCAGTTGAATACATAAAATAGCTTTATCATATTATCATTCAGGCATGAGCCATGATTAACATAGCACTATCACAACAAACTTATAAACCTTTGAGTACGAATGTAACTATGTAGGATAGGTTATAAATTTCATATTCCATAATTAGAATTGTGAAACAGTTAGTTGACAAACTTATCAATATCTGTTAATTAAATACAATCTACACTTTGCAGACAGATGAAGATTTTATTGCTAAAGCAAAGGGATTCTCATATGACACAACTGCAACAAATTTAGCACAGTTCTTTGCTGGTTGTGATTTCAAAGATGGCAAGAACAAAGGCATTCACTTTCTTTTCAGCAGAGCCGGTATATGTTGTTCACTGTGCATACAGGGGGGGGGGGGGGTATCACTGTCCATTTTATCCCTGCACAAAAAAAACTGAAAAAAGACAAAGACAAAAGGGACAAAAGGGACAAGAGGGACAAAAGGGACAAACAAAGATAATAGGGACAAAAAAGACAAAAAAAGGGGACAAAAAGGACAAAATGGACAAAAAGACAGGGACAAAATGGACAAAATGGACAAAATGGACAAAAAGGACAGGGACAAATGAGACAAATAGACATGGACAAAATGGACAGTAAAGAAAATAAGGTCAATTATCCGATGAAATGCAAAAAATGAGTTCAGGCACAGTTCCAACAAGCTAATAAGTTGGGTAAATTCAGAAAGAACAGTAAAGTCAATTTTGGTTATATATCAGCCTTAGTGTACTCACTGTTCAAGACAACTTGGTCTAGTTTACCTGGGGACCCCAGGCTATTATGTTCATAAACATAGCCTGGCGTAATTGAACCCTCTAAAACGCGCAAATAGGCGCGTTTATGCAATTTTACAATCAAATGATCAGATTTTACAATCTAACTCAGGCGCGGCTCTTGTAGCGCATACGCCACTTCTTTCTTATTAGTAGTTGGCGTGCCCGTGATCTTTTGCGCGGCTGTTATTGGTTCTGAACGATCACGTGAATGCGAGTCACGTGCGCTTTAACATCCAATAAGCATTCGCACTTTTTTTCAGGGCAATGGAGGTCGTAATTCACTCAGCCCGAATAAAGATTTGTAGGTTTACAACCTACCAGGACGCGCGCCGAGTTGGACTCGTCGACGGTCCAATATATGGAACAGATATTTTACGAGTATCACCCGTTAAATAAAGATTCGGCCGAATGACAGGCTGAGCGCCGCCCAGTAAGGTCTAGTCCGATATTGTTAATGGAAAAGTAATTGTGTGGGTCTTTGCTTCTGGCCGCTTTACCTGGGGACCCCAGGCTATTATGTTCATAAACATAGCCTGGCGTAATTGAACCCTCTAAAACACGCAAATAGGCGCGTTTATGCGATTTTACAAACAAATAGTCAGATCTAACTCAGCACGCAGCTTTTGTAGCACATACGTCACTTCTTTCCAATTGGTAGTTGGCGTGCACATGATCTTTTGCGCGGCTGTAATTGGTTCTGAACGATCACGTGAATGCTAGTCACGGGCGCGTTAACATCCAATGAGAATTCCCACTTTTTTCAGGGCGATGAAGATCGTAATTCACTCAGCCCAAATAGAGATTCGGCGGAATGACAGGCTGAGCGCCGCCCAGTAACTGGCTGCTTTGAGCGTTATGATATTAAAAGATGATGACTTTTTTGATATCACCACTTGATTAATGGGATTAATGAAATATTGACTGAACCGTGTACAGTAAAACAAAATTTTTTAGTAAAACAAAATTTTTATTGACGACAAAACAATCAATACTTGACATACGTTGCATGCCACTTTTCGCCCGCCTGCCGAAGGCGGAAAATATCTCTGATATTTGGATACGAAACATGTATCAAATCAATACATATTTAATATCATTATACATTTACAAATAAATTTAAATTTAAATTCAGCTATATACACAATACACAGCCTGCCGCGCAGACAGCCACACATTGCTGAGAGATTCTCAGGTGCAGATGTAAGCGCTGCGCCTGAGGTTTGTTACCTTACAATTACATGTCACGATATATTATTAATTATCAGAGAATTTTAGAAGCAAAATAATTATTGCATATTGGGAAAATTTCGGTCGTTAACGCAGTACAGGGCGTGGACACTGCTGACTGCAATGCTAATAACGGAAAATTCTGAGGCACATTTATTTATGTGATGCCGTTGATGAATTTTGCTTATTTCAGACCCTTCAGTGGTTTCAGTTGATTCTAAGTGCAGCAAAACACTGACATGAAAATCTAAATTGTTGATGTCGAGTAGAATATAATATACATTCTCTAAATTTGAGCTTGTCTAATTTTTTGTCCAAAATTTTTGTCCCTTTTGTCCCTAGTATTGTCCATTTTGTCCCCAAAACACTGTCCTTCACAAAAAAATGTAAAAAAAGACAAAGACAAAATGGACAAAATGGACAGTGGCACCCCCCCCCCCCTACAGGGCATGATTTGTTTATTTCAGTTTTCATAGGTATGAATTTGTACACCTATAATGTAATAATCTTATTAATAATAATAATAAATTGAAATTTAATAACACCACTTTTAAGATAAAACTTATACTCAGCAGTGTTTAAACTAGTCATCCCAGAAATTAACATGAATACTAAGTTAAGAAAGTAAATTATGCTTGAAAATATGTCGTCAATACTAAAGCATTAAGGTACTTAAACATATTATGCAAAGATCAAACACCAGATATGACCAAAATAGTTATCGATAAAGTTTTTCAAGTTCATCTAGGGACAGTATAAAAAGGTAGGTTTTTAGAAGAGCTTTAAAAGATTCCAGGGATTGAGCTAAGGAGATGGTAACAACCAGACGATTGTAGATCTTTGGATGTACAATCTTTACCTACATATTCCTCTCCAGTAGAGCTAGACCACTTTGTGGCAGTTTTTACAGCAGTTTGCTTGGCCATAAGTGCTTCAAGTTCAGACATCAACTTTTCATGTTGGACACTCTTGTTCTGAACAAAATTTTAATGCAACTCCAAGAAGTCCTCGCATTTAACAGAATCCCTCTTAAGTTGCGTGAAACTCTCAACACTGGCCTTAAGAGCTTTCAGCCCCTTCAATGAGAACAAGTTTAAAACATTGGTAACAAGAGTTCAGATCCATAGTGATGGGTGGAAGAAGGAGGAGAAAATGGCGGTGAAGTTAATACTGGCATGGGGGGGGGGGGGGGGGGGGGCTAAAGTATACTAAGGTATATCCCCGCCCCTAAATCGGGAATAAAAATTATAACTCGTGCAAGTCCGAAATGGGCCGTGTGCTGCTTCTAGGAAGTACATATGACAGTGCATATCAGCACACTGTTGGCTTTCTTAGAGACCTGATGAGTACCAAGCGGAAATCATGATTGCCTGGTAAGCAAGTTCACACTCATTCCGAATGGCGGTAGACTATTACAGCTACACTGCAGCTTACACTGTAGTGGGAATCGCGTCACTGATATCCTCCGAGCATAATTACCAGGATAAATCCTGTACCAATCACAGCTTGGTGACCTGGCCTGCCTGCCTCAGACGGGGTTTGAACCCCGGTCTTCCGCTTGGGAGGCGAGTGAAATACCACTACACCACCCGGCCGACGGGAATAACCTACATTTTATGATCCTTATATAACCTACATTTTATGATCCTTATATAATACCCAAAATTAGCTATATTCTTCGTTTAGATTTGCAAGATTAGCGTGTTTTTGGACTAGTACATGAATTTACACCCAGTTTGGTCAAAAACTTTCGCCCAAAATTCGATCAAATTTCAATATTTTTGAATGAGACTAACTTTATGTGAAAGATATAGCTCAATATCTGTTGAATAGTGGATACTAAGTATATCTCGGTTCAAAATGAAATAACTCCATTACATCAGTTTTCAATATTTTTTCATGAAATGTTCGGAATCAATTAAGAATTGCATTTCAAGCTTATTGTGGGCAGCCATTTTTGATTTATGCCTCCAAAGAACCTACATTTTAATATACTTTAATATGGTCAGCCCCCCCCCCCAATACTGTAGCTAGGGAAGTGATGCGTTGCTAGTATTATAGTAGATCTACATACGGTCACGTCATCGTCTCTTCTATTGCTTTGACATTGGGACCTAAAATTATTTGTTATTTAGTACTAATTAAGATCCCTGATGCTCGGAAAAGCTTAACAAGGTTTCGTATTAGCTGCCACAATCTTTACATTGAGAGGGGCCGTTACGAAACCCCCCTAGTACCAAGAGAACATCGATGGTGCACTTTCTGCTTTTTCAGTAAGGGGCTTAAGCTTATTGAGGACGAAATTCATGTTCTAACTCACTGTTTACTCTACTCCTCAGTTAGAGAAAAATTTAACTTCCATCCCAAAAATATTACTGACCTAGCCGGTTTGCTATCCGATAAAACACTAGACCCTACAAAATTTACTGCCACAGCAAGAGCAATCAATTCAATTCTCTCTGTGAACGAACATTTTACAGCCTACTATAAGAGCCCAGACCGCAAAATAAGATCGAAATCTACAAATCCGATCTATTCTTAGAAAAATAGTATTATAAAACATTTCTATTTTATCCCTACACATTTGTAAATAACTAGAATTGTGTAACCTTAAATTATTTCAGAATTATAACTATTGTGAATTCAATAAAATAATTATCACTTTTGTATCCTTGTATCCTTGTATCCTTGTATCCTAGTACTAGTGTTGAATGTATTGAATTTGTAAACTGTATTCTCAGGGAAATCAAGTGAAGCATACATTGAATTTCTGGAAAGTAGTGATTTGAAACGAGCTTTAGATTTCAATAAGAAGTACTTGGGGGACAGATATGTAGATGTAAGGAATTTCTCTTGAGTAATTGTTATATATCTGATTACTTGTCACTTTAAGGAACCATCTTTTATACTCAGCCCTGTCCAGTTCCTCCCTTCGGGGAAATAATCTATATTATATATTATTGATAGGGCAATCAAGGAACGAATGAAAGTAACTGAAAACAGTGTTACATTCCATGTTACTTTACGCTAGCCACTGTATGTATCATGTATTTGTATGTGCACTGACATTATCCATGTTACTTTACGCTAGCCACTGTATGTATCATGTATTTGTATGTGCACTGACATTATCCATGTTACTTTACCCTAGCCACTGTATGTATCATGTATTTGTATGTGCACTGACATTATCCATGTTACTTTACGCTAGCCACTGTATGTATCATGTATTTGTATGTATCATGTATTTGTATGTGCACTGACATTATTAATCTCAGGTATCCATTGCAACTAGAGAAATTATGGAAGCTGCACTAGCAGAAAATGAGACTGGTGCAGGTATGTTGTGTTGGTGTGCTCTCCAAAATTCAAATACCTTATGAATCCTCTCATTGTCATCGCAGTGGTGTTAATTCAGGAAATGAGTAGATTCAATGACACACGTTGAGTAAGGTAGAGATCAATAGATATACAAGTCGTTATACAAAGACCCCACGGCTACTGCAGACATCTTAAATATAGCATACTCCTGAAATGTAAAGGAGTTAACTCAAAGTCGAATACATATAATACAAACACATGAAATATAATAGAAAGATATATAAAGTTCACAGTGGTTGTGTGTTAATATAGTAGTAGTATGTAGTGTATGTGCCACTGCTAGGCCTCTGTTGCCCAATCTTCAAAATAAATCTGCTAGGCTGCTGTTTATACCTATACTGTTATTAAAATAACGTTGTGAATTTAGATCCAGAAGATTCCCATCACATCATAAAGCTGACTGGAATGCCTTTTGCTGCTTTACACGAGGAGATAGCTATCTTCTTCGCTGGTTGTGATATCAAGGGAGGCAAGAAAAAGTATGTGAAATTTCTTTATCCCTATTAATAACCGGAAATTTTAAAAGTTATTAAAAATTTACAGAAAAAACCAATAAGTAGTCAAGGGTTTTATAATTTGTTTGAATTTCGCTACTGTATTTCTAGTTCCATCACTCATCAGGGGTATACATTTCCTACGTAACCAAGACGGATCAGCGTCTGGGGGATGTTTTGTAGAATTTCTAGCTTCTGAGGACATGAAAATAGCTCTGTCTAAAGACAAGGAGTACATGGGTAGTAGGTTCTGCCATGTCACCAAGTCAACTGCAGAAGAGAGGGAATATACGCTAGCTAAACAAAATGAAGGTATTTTCTCTTTCTCTGTCTGTGCCGAATTTATCTGAAATTCTTTCTAAGGAGAAGTAAAGAGTCAGAATTTTAAAGAAATAATTGAAAGTAATTTTTCTTACAATTCTTCGTTTTTTAGCACTGCAAAACATGAAAGAACCTATCCTGAAACTTAAAGGGCTGCCCTTCAAAGCAACAGAAAACGACATCAAGAACTTCTTCCCTGATTTGGAAATCGTTTCTGTTGAAGTGAGTGAGTCTGCGTTTAATACAGGCATCCTATGATGGGGGGGGGGGTGCCACGTGTCACCCCTCCCCCTATAATGTCACCGAAGATTGTCTAGTGCACGTGGCTACTTATTTCAAATTTAAATGAGCTTGGATATAGTAATCTGCTAATTTTTCAAGTTTACAGTAACAATATGACCTTCAATTAGTGATTAAATTGAATTAAAATTTACCAAACAGATGGTGCTCAATGAACATGGGAACTGTAGAGGGGAATCATTCTTAGATTTCGCCACATTGGACGAAGCAAAAGAAGCCATCAAGTCATACAAGCTCAAATTGTTACACAGGTAATTCATTTCAGAGTCTTAAATTGTCGATTAGATGTGATGGTATTTTCCTTAGCTTGAGAATTGTGAAAAATTACGCAAATAAAAATAACAATTTAAATATTAAGTGAATGTGCTTTAGGCATATCAAACAATTGGAGACGCAGAACATTTTGTCTGATATGTAATATGCTTGACTTCGTAGATTCGTTGATGTGACTAAGGGCAGCAGAACAGAGTGGATGCAAATGATTCCATCCTCCGAGAAGATTAAGAAAACAGCAGAGGATCTGGAGGAGCCTATTGTAAAGTAAGACAGTTCATCATAATGTCATAATACACGTGGTTTTGTAATGTGATGTCACGTGTTTATTAATTAGATACAACTATTTGTCATGTTTGTCAGTAAATCAATAACATACGATTAAATAATGTTCAGACTAAACAACCTACCACTGAAAGTAACAAAAGGTGAGATAGAAGACTTCATGTTTGGTATAGAGTGTAGAGCAGTTCAGATAGTGCGGTTACCACGCGGTGACTGTAACGGAGAGGCTTTTATAGAGTTTACTAATGTCGAGGACGCTGCTAAGGCCTTGAAAAAACACAAACAGCCACTCAATGGAGAATCAGGGTAAGCTTTGTTAACATCTTGTAGTTCTTATTCATAGCCAGTTCTCAGAATTATCTTGTTTGCTATTTTAGCAGTCACACAAGCTACAAGCTAAAACCTCACACAAGCTACAAGCTAAAACCTCACACAAGCGCAGCTACTTGAAGCTAAAACCTCACACAAGCTACAAGCTAAAACCTCACACAAGCTACTTGAAGCTAAAACCTCACACAAGCTACAAGCTAAAACCTCACACAAGCTACTTGAAGCTAAAACCTCACACAAGCTACAAGCTAAAACCTCACACAAGCTACTTGAAGCTAAAACCTCACACAAGCTACAAGCCAAAACCTCACACAAGCTACTTGAAGCTAAAACCTCACACAAGCTACAAGCTAAAACCTCACACAAGCTACTTGAAGCTAAAACCTCACACAAGCTACAAGCTAAAACCTCACACAAGCTACAAGCTAAAACCTCACACAAGCTACAAGCTAAAACCTCACACAAGCTACAAGCTAAAACCTCACACAAGCTACTTGAAGCTAAAACCTCACACAAGCTACTTGAAGCTAAAACCTCACACAAGCTACAAGCTAAAACCTCACACAAGCTACAAGCTAAAACCTCACACAAGCTACTTGAAGCTAAAACCTCACACAAGCTACAAGCTAAAACCTCACACAAGCTACAAGCTAAAACCTCACACAAGCTACTTGAAGCTAAAACCTCACACAAGCTACAAGCTAAAACCTCACACAAGCTACAAGCTAAAACCTCACACAAGCTACTTGAAGCTAAAACCTCACACAAGCTACAAGCTAAAACCTCACACAAGCTACAAGCTAAAACCTCACACAAGCTACTTGAAGCTAAAACCTCACACAAGCTACAAGCTAAAACCTCACACAAGCTACAAGCTAAAACCTCACACAAGCTACTTGAAGCTAAAACCTCACACAAGCTACAAGCTAAAACCTCACACAAGCTACAAGCTAAAACCTCACACAAGCTACTTGAAGCTAAAACCTCACACAAGCTACAAGCTAAAACCTCACACAAGCTACAAGCTAAAACCTCACACAAGCTACAAGCTAAAACCTCACACAAGCTACAAGCTAAAACCTCACACAAGCTACAAGCTAAAACCTCACACAAGCTACAAGCTAAAACCTCACACAAGCTACAAGCTAAAACCTCACACAAGCTACTTGAAGCTAAAACCTCACACAAGCTACAAGCTAAAACCTCACACAAGCTACAAGCTAAAACCTCACACAAGCTACTTGAAGCTAAAACCTCACACAAGCTACAAGCTAAAACCTCACACAAGCTACAAGCTAAAACCTCACACAAGCTACAAGCTAAAACCTCACACAAGCTACAAGCTAAAACCTCACACAAGCTACTTGAAGCTAAAACCTCACACAAGCTACAAGCTAAAACCTCACACAAGCTACAAGCTAAAACCTCACACAAGCTACTTGAAGCTAAAACCTCACACAAGCTACAAGCTAAAACCTCACACAAGCTAAAACCTCACTACACAGGCGAGATAGACAGGTAGATGTCACACCATCAAGTCGCTGTGACTGGAGAAAAGCGCCCCTCCCCAAGACTGCCACAACTACTTCCAAGCCAGTGCCCGCCCGCTCGCGCAGCCCTCCATCCAGGAAGCGCCCCCTCAGCATGGACCACTCCGCAAACACTGACAGAGACAGACACGGCTCTCATCCCAGGATTAGTGCTCCCACTCCTGTGGGATATCCTTCTTATGGAACTTACAACAACATGCCGTAAGTGGCAGGGGGATCCTAGAGTTTGTTGTTCTAGTGACCTGGTATTGTTGCTTAGTTAATACGTGGTTTATTCTGTCTGGCATTATATAAAATAGTGCGTTATTAAAACTTGATAGCTTTGTGTCTTAGTACAGATGTTGAAACAGGGATAAGGAAACTTAATGCCTTGATAAGCTCTCAAGTTTTGATAGGATTGTGTTTATTGTTTGATTTCTAATTACTTGATGCATTTCAGATAATTTCTGTTAATGTGGGCTGGCGATGAATGAGTTGTGAACTGCTGAAATTTATGAGAGTAAAATAAACTTGTTGGGCGGTCCCTTAAATGAGTAATATGGGATTTGTTGTAAAGCGTAGAAGTTGAACCTGCAGTTATTCAAGTTTAACTTCAAGTTGAGCCCCAGTGACGAACTACATATTTGGAAATAATCTCTCGACTTTGAGACTCTATATATATATATATAATGATGCAATACAGTGGGGTGTATTTCAATAATAAAAAGGTTTTTTTAGACTTATGTAATTTTTTATGTAGGTATTAAATGTCATTTGAAGTTATTTAAGGTTACTTGAGGTGATTTGAGTTTATTTGAAGATATATCTTGTCGACCAAGCGCAGGTGTAAAAGTAACAGTTGGGCAGAAAGAACTTTGAATTCGTCACTGGGACTCTCCCTAACAGCTGGTGACTGTTAAGGTTAACTTCTAAGCTGTGGTTATACGATTGATTTGATTTCCTCTCCTCTGCAGTGTGTATGGAGATAGAGGGAATCTGAGGGAATATCTTGTTAATATGATCGGACTACCCTTCTCTGCAAGCGAAGAAGACATCAAGCAGTTCTTCCATCCCATTAGAATGTCTCAAGTTGAGTTTTTAAAGAATAATCGGGGGTTGCCACGCGGTATTGCTGTTGTTGGGTTTCATTCGGAGGAAGATCGTAGCAATGCAATGCTGAGGAATAAGAATACAATTGGTTAGCGACGGTTTTAAATAATTTCAAGATAATTTGTTGGTTTTTATTTCTGTTCCGTATTGTTTGACAATAGGTTATGTGCTACGTTGTTGTGCTCCATAATTCAAGTTTTATATCAGCTTGATTGGATCCTACTGGAAGATATGGCCACGTTTCTTTATTTGAAAGTTTTCTGGCTCGCGGCCAGGAACCATTGAAGAGATAACATCTTTATCTCGATGCCTTGAAAATACGAATGCCGGTTATCCCTTATAACTTTATAAGGATATTGGCAAAATGCCAACAATTGCGACAACAGTATAAACCACAAGAAATATGTATTGAATGAAAATAAAGGTTGGGAAAGACAAAAATGTCGCAGCTTCTTTCAGTTTCTGAAAATAGTGATAGAATAAAAATGATACAATTTTGAAAGGTTGGACTGTCAGTAATTTTGCTTTGGATGTATTTATTTAATATCAAGCTACTAGATACTTCTGATAGATCTGTTTGAACTCTAAATAGTGAGTACACTGGGTTGTAAGACGGTTTTATGAGAGGAAACCATCATGGGCTCGTTGTTAGCATAAGATTTTCAGTACGTCATAAGCTTGAAATTTAATTTCAGTGCATTTATGGTGGCCACAGCGGATTCCAAAAGGGCTTCAAGGTGTGTGTAGTGAAACAATTATCACATATTCTATATGTAACGTGTTATGATGATCGGTGAAAGAATGAGAAGTTTAATTATGATGAACCAATAATTAGTGCTTGATGAATCTCCAGTACTATTCCGTTCGAGGTCGATTGTCGAGCTAGCTAGCAAAGCTTGGACGGGTTTATCTTTACCTGAACTACTTAAAATAAAAGAGAAACATTTGACTACAACAAAAAGAACACAAATGTACATGCTCCATGTTTTAAACTGTGCGATCTCTTTCTCGGATTTATCTTAGAAACGTTGTAAGATCAGGTGTTATAAGATAAGGTGTTGTAAGATCACGTAGAAATAGGCTTCAGCTCTCAGTTTAACTGGTTGTTGTTTCCCAGTTCTAAGTTCTGATTGCTTCCCAGGAAGCCGTTACGTTAATCTGCATGTGAGAAACGAACCTCGTGAATACGACTTTGACTTCACTAAAGGCGGTGGTTAGTAATCTCGTTTTCATCAAGGCTCTAGCTGATTTTCTATCTACTAGAGCTGATATGTACCAACATTAAACTATCGTATCATTTATATGTTTCAACCTCCAGTTCGATTAAAATAATTTGTATCAAGCTCATTCTCATCATTAATAAATGATTTACAGGTAAAGTACACGAAGACAAGCGGGACGACTTCAGTAGGTCTCGAGAGGTGACCTACAGAGATAATCGTAATAGAGACCCTTACAGTAGATACTGACAAACAGGTTATTTGTTGTTACCTTTTATGGGCATCACGTGATAAATAATACCTTATATGGGCATTTCATCAGTCATCTCAAAGATAACTCCCTTGTCTCATTCAAGGAACAAATGAATATGAAATTGGACTGGTACAGGGGATAGGAGCCTGTCCTCGCGCTAGACCCATGTTTATCTACCGATCATGTCACAGCCTACCCCACACTCAAAAACAGTCACTCCAAGTTAATTTTCGAAAGAAACCCGAGTATCACAAAACCACCAAAAGAGGACTTTCTTATTCACAACGGTTTCAAGAAACGAATTCCTCCGCAATCAACACAACCCATCGCGTTGCGTCGGGAGTAAAATATTCACACCCCACGTCATCAGAGACAAAAGGAAATCGAGGCATGTACGGAATCGCGATTTTTCCCATTATTTGCGACAAATTTTATGTAAAGTTTAATGTATAGTGTGTTAAAAATCGCGGTATCGCGATTTTTGGCCAAAATAATCGCGAAATCCTTTTGCCCCTGCACGTCATTATTAAAAGTTTGAAATGTAGCTTTAGAGAATATTGGGGGTCCTGTATCAACACTTCTCGGAAATTAGAATTCTATCGTGACCTAAAATCCAAATTAAACTAAGAATATTACCTAGACAGTGAGTGTCATTAAATATGCAGACCATGCGAATATCACAAGACTACTGATCAGTACACATCGACTCGAAATTGAACTTGGCCGATATAATCAAACTCCTCGCGATGGGCGAATATGCTCCTGGTGCAATATTTATTATAATAGTCTTAGGTTCTGGTATTATTGAGAATGAAGATCACTTCCTTAACCATTGTGATCTTAACGCTGCATCTAGTTACTATTACTACTATTAATATTACTATTGTAACTTAAGATTTTAAATTTATATTCCTTGTATTCCTTGTTATGTGATCCACAGGTTTCCTTCCCTTATTTTAATTCTTAGTATTGATATTGCCATAGATCTAGGCAAGGCTTTAAAGATTGGAAACTAGAAGTTCAAATATTAGGCCCGTTAGTTTAAGAACTATTTTTTAAAAGAGGCCCAACACTTTTAACGTGCAAGTTCTATGTGATGTTTAAATAAATCTTTATCTATTTCAAGGTTCGATAAGAAGACAGAGAAGCTCCTAGGCACATAGGCGGAATACTTGCTGGACTATCACTGACATCACCACTTATTTTTGCATCACTGGATAAGAAATTATATTTGATTAGCCAGATGTGCAATATTTATTTCCTTATTTGTCCCAATAACTGGAATGCAGTTAACATTATCAACAATTTATGTTTTTAATCACTATAACTTTTCTCACAGTTTTGTTTTTCATTTATTTATCAATTAGTGTTGTTTTAAAACTATCAAGATCAGTATTTCCCGCAACCAAATGTAACGAATGAGTTTAAAAAAATTCCAGCAAAATCATTCTAACATCGGTAGAATATTTTAGGAACAAATCTAATTCACAAAAGGATGGAAAGCACTCGGCGCGGGTGTGGGGGTTGTGAGGCCCCAACTAGTAGTGAATATACTAGTCCTATATACTATCCCTGCATAACTGCATAGAGGAAAGAATAATTTAAGGAATGTACTAGTTCCTGCATAAAACTACCTATTGAATTCATCTGATTTCTGTGTTTAGTTTTTGCCATAATAATTATTTACGAATTGAACGTTGATGATCAAATCATATAAAACGGGTGCTTATTTTTAACTGGCCTCCTTATACGAAGAAAATGTTTGGGTTTTATCGTGGGTATTTTGGGTTTCTTTTCAGCTGATTTATGAAATACACAGCTTTAATTTCAATTTTATTAATTGATAAGAAGAATTCCAATTCAATAGATGGACAACAGTAACATATGTTCTGTAGAGAAACTAACAGAGACAATAAAGCTTGTGGAAAACTTGAGGTCCACAGTTTACGTAGTGTTTGATGAGCTGGTGGGTGGTAAAACTATCAACGATGGGATTAAAGATCACAGAACTATCAACGACAAAGAAAAAGGTACTTTTCCTCCCAGATATCTGCTGGGTTTGCCAACTTTGTGGATATGGGTACTTACCTTCACTATAATACTCTCAATCTCCATAATTTCTTATACAAAACCACCAGATAAGGGATCATAACCTGACTTTAGGTAAAAAAATGGTGGCGAACTTGCATCTGAACCTACAAAACGGGGTGAACAAAGCTCTTAACATGTTGGAGACCAGCATGGCAAGTCTTGGACGATATCCTCTGAGTACCCTGCCTCACAACCCCGGCTTTCATCTGCTGTCCTTGGAAACTAACGATATAAGGGGACAAGAGGTATATTGTATAATGTATATATATAGGCTGTATATTTTTAAGTGGGGTGGTTTTAATTTTAGGAGGCTAAAAATGAAATAATAATCTTTATTGAAAGTTACCTCAATTTCCAAGACGCCTTTTTTCTTGTCTCAATTACAGACGTTGAGTTTTAGCGGTAACATTATGAAATGAATATTAATATTATAATTTACCTTAAAGAGTTCACTAAATCACCTCAGCTATATGAGACACTACATAACGACTATCTTCACGTGTATAAAATCTGCGACAATAGCGGACTGATGTTCAAATCTCTGACAAGGAATATGAAGATTCCTAACACACAGGACATCGAGCCAGTACCTCAGAGCAACATCTACCACTCCATCCAGGCTCCCAGGTTAGTTCTACATCTACCACTCCATCCAGGCTCCAAGGTTAGTTCTACATCTACCAGTCCATCCAGGCTCCCAGGTTAGTTCTACATCTACCACTCCATCCAGGCTCCCAGGTTAGTTCTACATCTACCACTCCATCCAGGCTCCCAGGTTAGTTCTACATCTACCAGTCCATTCAGGCTCCCAGGTTTGTTCTACATCTACCAGTCCATCCAGGCTCCCAGGTTAGTTCTACATCTACCACTCCATCCAGGCTCCCAGGTTAGTTCTACATCTGACACTCCATCCAGGCTCCCAGGTTAGTTCTACATCTACCACTCCATCCAGGCTCCCAGGTTAGTTCTACATCTACCAGTCCATCCAAGCTCCCAGGTTAGTTCTACATCTACCACTCCATCCAGGCTCCCAGGTTAGTTCTACATCTACCACTCCATCCAGGCTCCCAGGTTAGTTCTACATCTACCAGTCCATCCAGGCTCCCAGGTTAGTTCTACATCTACCAGTCCATCCAGGCTCCCAGGTTAGTTCTACATCTACCACTCCATCCAGGCTCCCAGGTTTGTTCTACACCTGACACTTCATTCAGGCTCCCAGCCCCCAGGTTTGTTCTACATCTACCAGTACATCCAGGCTCCCAGGTTTGTTCTACACCTGACACTCCATCCAGGCTCCCAGCCCCCAGGTTTGTTCTACATCTACCAGTACATCCAGGCTCCCAGGTTAGTTCTACATCTACCACTCCATCCAGGCTCCCAGGTTTGTTCTACATCTACCAGTACATCCAGGCTCCCAGGTTTGTTCTACATCTACCACTCCATCCAGGCTCCCAGGTTTGTTCTACATCTACCACTCCATTCAGGCTCCCAGGTTAGTTCTACATCTACCAGTCCATCCAGGCTCCCAGGTTAGTTCTACATCTACCAGTCCATCCAGGCTCCCAGGTTAGTTCTACATCTACCAGTCCATCCAGGCTCCCAGGTTAGTTCTACATCTACCAGTCCATCCAGGCTCCCAGGTTTGTTCTACATCTACCAGTCCATCCAGGCTCCCATGTTAGTTCTACATCTACCAGTCCATCCAGGCTCCCAGGTTAGTTCTACATCTACCAGTCCATCCAGGCTCCCAGGCCAGGTTAGTTCTACATCTACCACTCCATCCAGGCTCCCAGGTTAGTTCTACATCTACCAGTCCATCCAGGCTCCCAGGTTAGTTCTACATCTACCAGTCCATCCAGGCTCCCAGGTTAGTTCTACATCTACCACTCCATCCAGGCTCCCAGGTTAGTTCTACATCTACCAGTCCATCCAGGCTCCCAGGTTTGTTCTACATCTACCAGTCCATCCAGGCTCCCAGGTTAGTTCTACATCTACCACTCCATCCAGGCTCCCAGGTTAGTTCTACATCTACCACTCCATCCAGGCTCCCAGGTTTGTTCTACACCTGACACTCCATCCACTACTCCGCAAGCAATTCACTACCACTTATATGTGAGTAGTGATAATTATTCAATTGTCTCTGTGAACGAACAATTTACAGCCTACTATAAGAGCCCAGATTTCCACTCAAACACTGGCCAGTGCATAATGCTATAGGACCTCAAAATAAGATCGAACTCTACGAATTCGATCTATTCAAAGACAATAGTATTATAAACATTTCTATCTTATCCCTATACATTTGTAGATAACTAGAACTGTGTAACTTTAAATTATTTCAGAATTATAACTATTGTGAATTCAATAAAATAATTATCACTCTTGTATCCTTGTATCCTGTGAGTACCAAAATTTTATTTTCCTCTCTAAAAGTACAATTTAAATGAATCGAGGAAACAATGGGAGGACGGTATGCATATACAAATTTATCACTACCTCAGGTCCCACCTGGAAAGTTTCGTAGCGAACATGAACCAGCGATTCAGCAGCTCAGGTGGGAGTCAGGTCCTGAAGCTGAACCTGATGAAGACCAGCAGTGGTAACATGCTGAAAGCGATCGTGGGCACTGTGTTGAAAGCTAATATCATGATGCAAGGACTGCTAGTGGACCGAGTTGTCGTGCATTCCTTCAATGAGGAGACTACCAACGATAACATCTGGCCTCCATCTAAGTTTATAGTATTTCAGAGACTGACCGAGATAGCAAACTCAGCTGCACTTTACTATGGAAGTAGTTCTAAGTTTTTTGTGTGGTTAAGTTATTACCAGAACTTGTACTCTCAGCCTTGTAAAGGTTGTGGGAAAATTCTTATGGACGAAAACAATAGGGACAGATACCTTCCCCCAGTCAGAAGGGACTTTGTGCATTTGGAACTGGTTTATCATCTGTCTTGTTACCAGAGCAGTGACGAGATTATGTTATCAGGGCTGTTTAGAAGTTGAAGGCATGTCATATGTCCTAGTACTAGAGGGATCAGAATTTAAATAAGTTGAAAAATTTGTTCAGAGCTTTAAGAAGAGTGTGAAATTTAGAGGAAAAGTTTTTGAATAGATGCACGCTGTTTCACTTTGCCGTCATTGATTGTAGATGTAAAGCTTTATTGGATGCATTCACCAATTATCTATTCAATCTTCTGTATTATTTATAGCTTAAATCTTAGTTAATTTATATTTTTCTGAATACCAATCATACTTAAGAATAAATTTTGTCAATTTATTGTGCCCAAATTAATATAAAATTATTTAAAATTAGGATGGAACTGACTTTATATTTGATTTTTAAAGTTTGAAGATGTATTATTTGATCAGTCACTGTGATAACAAGTTTATCTCACACACAGCTCTCAGATTTATATCTACTGAACTTACATTCTCAATAATATTCTACATTTGCCATATTGTTTGGAAATTAACAATTTATTTCACTGAAATGCTGGTACTATTTACAGTACACATATATATATTATAAATATACTATATAGTATAATATATAGTATATATAGTATATATATTATATATAGTATATATAGTATATATATATATATATATCAACTAAACTTAAATCCACTTAGATGAAACGAACTCCAACAGTAGCTGATTTGTCGGGTTCTACCGAAGAAATCCCCAAAAAGAAGACCTTCCTGGAACAAGTGTCTGACAAACTTCCCCGATTCAAGATTCCCAAGAAAAGTTGCAAATCCCCTTTAAAATGCAATAGTGCAGAAAAACCTGCCGCGATTGTTCCTATTTCCGATCATGAACCCTCTCAGGAAACTGATAAAACTATTTCCCCGTCTTCTGATCAGAATATCCTTTCCCAACCTAGTGATCAAAGTATTAGTTCTTCTGATCAGTTCATCAGTTCTCAGCCTTCTGATCAGTTCATCAGTTCTCAGCCTTCTGATCAGTACATCAGTTCTTCTTTACCTCAGCCTATCAGCACAGACCATGATGATCAGTTAATCAGTGAAACTAAAAGTCAGTCTGATAACCCCGTAGATAATGCCTGAGTTGGCGCGCCAGCACTACAACCAACTGAAACAAGTCTCCATGGATAAGCGCCACGAGAGTAGGATCTTCAACTTGCGGGGGTTTAACAACTACGTCAAGAGCTTGACAATGAATGATTTCTTGGCGCGGTTAGGTCCGCTGGGTAAACGCGGCGCTAAAATCCTGGACCTAGGGTGTGGTAAAGGAGGGGATCTGAGGAAGTGGGGTCTTGCTAAACCTGCCCACGTGGTATGTGTGGATATAGCTGATGTGAGTGTAGAACAGTGTAGGAGCAGGTACAGGGAGCGACCTAACGAGCTGACTTTCAAAGCTAATTTCATTGTGGCAGATTGTACACGTGTAGATTTAGATGAGAAGTATGTGGAGGAGAATATTCCTGATATAGAATTTGATTTGGTTAGTTGTCAGTTTGCGCTACACTACGGATTTGAAAGTCAAGCGCAAGCAAAACGAATGATAAAAAACGCCGTCTCTCATTTAAAACCAGGGTGTTTTTTTACAGGAACTATTCCTAATTCGAACTATCTCGTTAAAAAGTATTTGTCTCTATCAGAAGGATCCCGGTTTGGGAATGATGTATATTATGTAGATTTTCAGGAAGAGAACAGGAATTTATTTCCCTTGTTCGGTGCTAAGTATGTGTTCTATCTTCACGGTGCGGTTGAAGAGCTGCCAGAGTTTCTAATCCACTTCCCACTCCTTAAATCAATGTTAGAAGATGAAGGATGTGAGTGTGTGCTCGCGGAACCCTTCACAGACTTTGTTTACAAAACAGACCCTAAGACGGGGGAGCGAGTAATGAAGGAGGTGGAGGTGGTGTCCCGCACGCGGGGACTAAACGACCAGGGTACCCTGCCACGCAGTGAGTGGGAAGTGGTGGCCTGCTACATGGCCTTCGGGTTCCGGAAACTTACTGAAGCTGAGCGGGAGGAGCGGAGAGACAAGAAAAGAAGGAAACTTGAGTAGTTACCATGGTTACAGTTAGTTACCTAGTTACCATTACAGTTAGTTACCTAGTTACCATTATAGAATATAGATGTGTGGTGGTGGATTTAAAAATTTAAAAGTTTTAAGAGGAAACATGTAAATTTCTGAACACTGTACTTGGTGTTTTAAGCTATTCTGTCGGAATGTTTTTTAACAATTAACTGAGAATCGGTATAGTTGTTACTATATTAAACATATCTTTTGAGGGATTTGAATCTAAGATTTAAAGATCGTTTTAAATCCTTATAAACAATTTTAAGTGACATCTGCATTCATTTTCGTCAGCTGAATTCATTTTAACCGTTATTTTTGATACATTCTTCCAATAATGATTTGGTTATTAGTTTCAACAACCGCTGATCTCAAATCACAAATGATCGTCATATTATGTGGGATTTTCACATATTATTTCGTAACACTCCTTCAAAATTGTCCAACCATCACATAAATTCCATATAACAGTAACACGCTCCGATAACATACAATATTTAGTTGTTAACCCATTAATGTAACAAGGCAAGATGAAATGAATGCCTGAACACATATTTGAGACAAGATGGAGACCTAACAAACCCACACTCACCGCGTGTTGGCAGTCACAACATCACAATGAGGATAGACAAAGCAAAGTGCAAGAAGATTCTCACTGAAGTGGTCTGTACTATTCTCCCCTTCTGTCTTCAAATCAAAATAGTTTATAATAGTTTATAATAGTTTATAATTTTATACATCATAATGACGTATTATTATTCGGCCGCATTTGTACAGTGCCACGAATGCGTGCTAGAGTAAAACCCAGATTTACCGCGGTTGTTTCCTCTTCCCAAACTCAGCGGTAAATACAAGCACTTTTCAGTGTTCACTACAAACACAAAGTGTTTATAACACCCATACCATCTAGCCGGCTAGCTGTCGAGGACTGATAACAAAGTTAAAGACGTGCCCTGAAAGCGAACTTGTGAATACTCTCAAGGAGATTACTGTTTGGGAATATGGCAAGGTAAGTGTTGTCTCAATCATTATAGCAAATATCATTATAGCAAATATCATTATAGCAAATATCTTACCTCCTCACGGAGTAGTTTGCTAGTGTAACATCATTATCACACTCATCTTACCTCAAGTTGTCATTATTGCAAAAGTTACATTTAGATATATTAAAATCGCTACAATTTTAATGTTCACTAAGTTCCGTATCATGATCCCCCCCCCCTCCGTATCATACAGATAACAAACATTAACCCTCAGTGTGAGCTGTATCACTGGATCGATGTGCTGGACAGATTTGATGCTATTTTGGAGCGTGTCGCTAAGCCTGAAGCTGCGCCGCCTAACGAGATGATGATTTACCTGTGTAGGAAACTGGAGGAGAAGCAGGTTCGTGGGCTGAGTGAGCATTTACTATTATACTATATAGTCCTGCTAATAAAGTTCATGATAGTTATAAAACCTGTTTTTTTCAGTCAAAACACTTAGTTTACTACGTCCTTTACTTCACGGCGCTGCTGATGGAGCATGCATACGCCAGACATCTCTACAGCTCTATTGAGGTACAACTTATTCCTGACCACTTATTCCTGACGACTTTTTTCCTTTGTTAAAGTAAACAGAAATTATTAAACCTCATATTCTATTATTAAAGTTCATTTTGTGTTACCCTCTCTTTCTTTCAGCATCTGACGAATCTGTTGGCAGCTAGTGATATGGACATTGTACTAGCAGTTCTCAATCTACTCTATGTATTTAGGTAACTCTTCATCCATTGTCAGAAGTGAACCAGAATACGAAATTAAATGACCACTCCATGACCGCATCTTTCAGTACTAGCCTAATTTTGCACTTTTCATGGAGCTGTCCGCGCGAAAGTCCTAATTTATATGCACTTTTTCGCGCGCATAACGCGCCATCAAATCTACCTTTGGCTGGAATTTACGTATAACTGGCGATTATTGGGACGGTTGAGACCACTGAAACAAGCACGTGAAACGATCTTAATATAATATTATGAAAATTCCGGGTTAGGCCACAAAAATTTCAGGTGGAACTGATTTATTTACGAAGATAACAGAACAATTGTTTCAGTAAGCGATCAAACTTCATCTCTAGACTGACTCCAGAAAGAAGATCGTCGTTAAAACTTCGCCTGAATCACTTGGCTGAGGTATTTATTTCGTTATTTATTCGTTTATTTCCTTTTGCAGCCAATTGTGTGCTGAAATACATAGCTTTGAGATAATTACTTCTCTGATTAGAAGAATCATCGGCTTTTTATTTTAATGGGATAAAAGAGTTCAGGATTTCCACAGCATTAAAATCTAGCCTCTTTTTGGCAAGCTATCCAGAATAACCAATAAATAATGCAGCAATATATTCCGTACTAGCCTCTTTTTGGCAAGCTATCCAGAATAACCAATAAATAATGCAGCAATATATTCCGTACTAGCCTCTTTTTGGCAAGCTATCCAGAATACCCGATAAATAATGCAGCAATATATTCCGTACTAGCCTCTTTTTGGCAAGCTATCCAGAATAACCAATAAATAATGCAGCAATATATTCCGTACTAGCCTCTTTTTGGCAAGCTATCCAGAATTACCAATAAATAATGCAGCAATATATTCCGTACTAGCCTCTTTTTGGCAAGCTATCCAGAATAACCAATAAATAATGCAGCAATATATTCCGTACTAGCCTCTTTTTGGCAAGCTATCCAGAATAACCAATAAATAATGCAGCTATATATTCCGTACTAGCCTCTTTTTGGCAAGCTATCCAGAATAACCAATAAATAATGCAGCAATATATTCCGTACTAGCCTCTTTTTGGCAAGCTATCCAGAATAACCAATAAATAATGCAGCAATATATTCCGTACTAGCCTCTTTTTGGCAAGCTATCCAGAATAACCAATAAATAATGCAGCAATATATTCCGTACTAGCCTCTTTTTGGCAAGCTATCCAGAATAACCAATAAATAATGCAGCTATATATTCCGTACTAGCCTCTTTTTGGCAAGCTATCCAGAATAACCAATAAATAATGCAGCAATATATTCCGTACTAGCCTCTTTTTGGCAAGCTATCCAGAATTACCAATAAATAATGCAGCAATATATTCCGTACTAGCCTCTTTTTGGCAAGCTATCCAGAATTACCAATAAATAATGCAGCAATATATTCCGTACTAGCCTCTTTCTGGCAAGCGATCCAGAATAACCAATAAATAATGCAGCAATATATTCCGTACTAGCCTCTTTTTGGCAAGCTATCCAGAATTACCAATAAATAATGCAGCAATATATTCCGTACTAGCCTCTTTTTGGCAAGCTATCCAGAATAACCAATAAATAATGCAGCAATATATTCCGTACTAGCCTCTTTTTGGCAAGCTATCCAGAATAACCAATAAATAACGCAACAATATATTCCGTACTAGCCTCTTTTTGGCAAGCTATCCAGAATAACCAATAAATAATGCAGCAATATATTCCGTACTAGCCTCTTTTTGGCAAGCTATCCAGAATAACCAATAAATAATGCAGCAATATATTCCGTACTAGCCTCTTTTTGGCAAGCTATCCAGAATAACCAATAAATAATGCAGCAATATATTCCGTACTAGCCTCTTTTTGGCAAGCTATCCAGAATAACCAATAAATAATGCAGCAATATATTCCGTACTAGCCTCTTTTTGGCAAGCTATCCAGAATTACCAATAAATAATGCAGCTATATATTCCGTACTAGCCTCTTTTTGGCAAGCTATCCAGAATAACCAATAAATAATGCAGCAATATATTCCGTACTAGCCTCTTTCTGGCAAGCTATCCAGAATTACCAATAAATAATGCAGCTATATATTCCGTACTAGCCTCTTTTTGGCAAGCTATCCAGAATAACCAATAAATAATGCAGCAATATATTCCGTACTAGCCTCTTTTTGGCAAGCTATCCAGAATACCCGATAAATAATGCAGCAATATATTCCGTACTAGCCTCTTTTTGGCAAGCTATCCAGAATAACCAATAAATAATGCAGCTATATATTCCGTACTAGCCTCTTTTTGGCAAGCTATCCAGAATTACCAATAAATAATGCAGCAATATATTCCGTACTAGCCTCTTTTTGGCAAGCTATCCAGAATTACCAATAAATAATGCAGCAATATATTCCGTACTAGCCTCTTTTTGGCAAGCTATCCAGAATTACCAATAAATAATGCAGCAATATATTCCGTACTAGCCTCTTTTTGGCAAGCTATCCAGAATAACCAATAAATAATGCAGCAATATATTCCGTACTAGCCTCTTTCTGGCAAGCTATCCAGAATACCCGATAAATAATGCAGCAATATATTCCGTACTAGCCTCTTTTTGGCAAGCTATCCAGAATACCCGATAAATAATGCAGCAATATATTCCGTACTAGCCTCTTTTTGGCAAGCTATCCAGAATAACCAATAAATAATGCAGCTATATATTCCGTACTAGCCTCTTTTTGGCAAGCTATCCAGAATTACCAATAAATAATGCAGCAATATATTCCGTACTAGCCTCTTTTTGGCAAGCTATCCAGAATTACCAATAAATAATGCAGCAATATATTCCGTACTAGCCTCTTTTTGGCAAGCTATCCAGAATTACCAATAAATAATGCAGCAATATATTCCGTACTAGCCTCTTTTTGGCAAGCTATCCAGAATAACCAATAAATAATGCAGCAATATATTCCGTACTAGCCTCTTTTTGGCAAGCTATCCAGAATAACCAATAAATAATGCAGCAATATATTCCGTACTAGCCTCTTTTTGGCAAGCTATCCAGAATTACCAATAAATAATGCAGCTATATATTCCGTACTAGCCTCTTTTTGGCAAGCTATCCAGAATAACCAATAAATAATGCAGCAATATATTCCGTACTAGCCTCTTTTTGGCAAGCTATCCAGAATAACCAATAAATAATGCAGCAATATATTCCGTACTAGCCTCTTTTTGGCAAGCTATCCAGAATAACCAATAAATAATGCAGCAATATATTCCGTACTAGCCTCTTTTTGGCAAGCTATCCAGAATACCCGATAAATAATGCAGCAATATATTCCGTACTAGCCTCTTTTTGGCAAGCTATCCAGAATAACCAATAAATAATGCAGCTATATATTCCGTACTAGCCTCTTTTTGGCAAGCTATCCAGAATTACCAATAAATAATGCAGCAATATATTCCGTACTAGCCTCTTTTTGGCAAGCTATCCAGAATTACCAATAAATAATGCAGCAATATATTCCGTACTAGCCTCTTTTTGGCAAGCTATCCAGAATAACCAATAAATAATGCAGCAATATATTCCGTACTAGCCTCTTTTTGGCAAGCTATCCAGAATAACCAATAAATAATGCAGCAATATATTCCGTACTAGCCTCTTTTTGGCAAGCTATCCAGAATACCCGATAAATAATGCAGCAATATATTCCGTACTAGCCTCTTTTTGGCAAGCTATCCAGAATAACCAATAAATAATGCAGCTATATATTCCGTACTAGCCTCTTTTTGGCAAGCTATCCAGAATACCCGATAAATAATGCAGCAATATATTCCGTACTAGCCTCTTTTTGGCAAGCTATCCAGAATACCCGATAAATAATGCAGCAATATATTCCGTACTAGCCTCTTTTTGGCAAGCTATCCAGAATAACCAATAAATAATGCAGCTATATATTCCGTACTAGCCTCTTTTTGGCAAGCTATCCAGAATTACCAATAAATAATGCAGCAATATATTCCGTACTAGCCTCTTTTTGGCAAGCTATCCAGAATTACCAATAAATAATGCAGCAATATATTCCGTACTAGCCTCTTTTTGGCAAGCTATCCAGAATAACCAATAAATAATGCAGCAATATACTAGCCTCTTAGAAGCTACTCTGATTATTTGTCAATCTAACGTGTTATTAAGAGGAGGCTTCATGTATTTTAATATAACACCTGCCCTCTAGTCATGGGGAGGAAAAGATAACGGGTTTGGTCTAGCTGCTTGTTGTGAAGATAAGCCATTGTCTGAGTTTCCACCTACGGCAACCACACTGCACTACGAGTTTTACATCTTGGGAAGCAACGGGGCCAGCTCACACAAGGTCATACACAAGGAGCATCTGGACACATACTCAGACAGGTATGTAGACCCCATATGTCGAAATATGGATCAATGATCCTCAGACTTGTGCTACAATTTTTAATTTATTGTTAATGTTTTTATCGTGATATATGCTTAAGAACTGAGGTTGTTCACATAGTTGTAAGTGTTAGCAACATATCATTACTATGTTACTTTTTCAGTTCCGCGAGAATAATGGAGGACCTGGTGACGAGTTTCCAGGTTCCTACTGGTAAACAAATGGGACTGCTCACTCACATCAGACTGGCACAAGCTTTTTCTAACTACACTCGCAGACTGCAGTGTGTACAGGTCGGTTTTTTAATCATAAGATAAAAATGTAATGTCATTTTCTTTGCTAAATCCATTCTTCCATCTACATTATACTCACTATCAATGTTACATCTACATTATACTCACTATCAATATTACATCTACATTATACTCACTATCAATGTTACATCTACATTATACTCACTATCAATATTACATCTACATTATACTCACTATCAATGTTACATCTACATTATACTCACTATCAATATTACATCTACATTATACTCACTATCAATGTTACATCTACATCATACTCACTATCAATATTACATCTACATCATACTCACTATCAATATTACATCTACATTATACTCACTATCAATATTACATCTACATTATACTCACTATCAATATTACATCTACATTATACTCACTATCAATATTACATCTACATTATACTCACTATCAATATTACATCTACATTATACTCACTATCAATATTACATCTACATTATACTCACTATCAATATTACATCTACATTATACTCACTATCAATATTACATCTACATTATACTCACTATCAATATTACATCTACATTATACTCACTATCAATATTACATCTACATTATACTCACTATCAATATTACATCTACATTATACTTACTATCAATATTACATCTACATTATACTCACTATCAATATTACATCTACATTATACTCACTATCAATATTACATCTACATTATACTCACTATCAATATTACATCTACATTATACTCACTATCAATATTACATCTACATTATACTCACTAAGAGTTATATTGATATTAGGGAATGATGGGTGATAAGTAGGGCGGGGATATAGGTAGGTTTAAGGGCAAGCTAAGTTGTTATCAGTGTAAACTAGTAGTATAGACTACTTAAACTGTCATCTTCTTTGAAAGACAGGATATTTGTAATATCGAGATTTGTTCATTTCAGGCTCGACTACAAGCGATATCTATACTGGTATACAGTAACGCGGGAAATGACATTCTGCAGAACCTGCTATATGATGGTCTGATAGAGGAGCTAGTGGACGTGCTGGGGGTTTCTGATCACAGACTAACTGTAAGACTTTTATTTGATGAACTTTTTATTTGATAAGCTTACCTTAGGACTTTCAATATCATTTTGAAAATTAATTAATTAAGAACTTTGATGATCGTCGATTTTAATTATTTTGGTATTTAGTAGTATGAGACCCCACCCCCACATTACCAAAACTCATTATGTCAGGACATCAAAGCAGCGGCACTGCGCACTCTAACTGCAATAATACACCTGGAGAGGACGCCACGTATAAACGCTATAATAGACGCCACGGGAATGTCCTCCTATCACGGCTTCTTCCCTTCCCTCTTTAGATCCTGTGTCTTAGCTATGATTGGTAGAGTGACTCTTTCTTCTCAGCTATGATTAATTCATTACCCTTATATTTGATATAATTCTATTAATTTATTTGACTATAATAATATCCATCGCTGACCCTATTACATAATAGTAAATTAACATTTCTACAGGAGAAAGCAAAGAAACACCCCTGCCCCAGACCCTTTCCACAGCCCTCTTCTCCTTCCTCTATCACCTGGCCAGCTACGAGTCGGGGGGCGAGGCACTTGTCTCGTGTGGCATTATGGAAACCCTCCTCCGTATTGTACAGTGGAAGAGTCTAGATAATTCCCAGGTCCGTTATTGCTGGAAAAGTTTAAATCTTTTCGTCATTTAATGGCTGACATTGTTTTCTTATGTTCCTGTTGGCTACGCTTAGATGAGACACTATTGACGGCGTATTCACAAAGCATTTCAAATAGAGATGATCATATTCAGCATAATATCAATGACCTAATTAATTGAATGTGATTTAGTTGCCACGTATTTTACTTTTACACACTTAAATCTCAGTTAACATTTGTAACGAGGGCGGTGCGGCTGGTAGATCTGATAACTAACATGGACATCACAACTTTCACCAACTTCAGTGGACTCTCCTGCCTTATAGCCAGACTGGACGTGAGTTTTAAAAGCTGAACTTTAAAGAGGCTAAGAGTTTTGGGGTGTTTAATAGGGGGGGGGGGGGTTATAAATTGTAACGAAGGAGTAATCTAGCTAATTAATTGCAGCACGAGGTGAACAAGTGTAGAGATGATCTGGGTGAAGAACGTGTCCTCCACGAGTCTCCCACACTTGAAGAAATTGAAGGTGGAGAGGACAACTCTCCTTCCAGGGTTAGGGGCTATAGTTTATACAACTTTACATATAATAGCTAAAGTTGGTTTCAGCTTTTATTAGGTTATGATGGACACATGTTTTGACACATAACGATTCTTAACCTCCCAAAAGTATGGAATAACTTGTATCATCATGTTTTTAATATCTTCTTTGCAGGACATACTGTCAGTTTTTCAATGAAATAAAATCTTCATTTCCCCTCCAGGATGGTGAATCCAGTTCAGACCCTGTTTCTCTTGACGTTATAGAAGTGGCCATGACAGCGGAACCTGCCGTGCCTGCTCAAGACGTTGATATGACGGACAGTGAACGAGCCTCTTCTTCTAAAAGTGGCAAGGGTGAGTAATGAAGAGGACTTCTTAGTTTGTCCTAACTTGAGATCAACTTCAATATGTTTTTTCCTTGCTTTAAATGAACTTGTTATTTAACTATTCAATATGTGAACTTTGCATAATATGTATCGAATGGCAGGTTTTAATGATTCTGTAACCTCTGTAATTTATTAGCTGTAACGTTATAATATGCTCCCTAGTATTAACTATTACAAAACCTTCAGGTGCTGCTAAGTCATGCAGATCTATGTGTATTCCTCAGCGAGCAGCCCTACTTAAGAGCGTCCTCAACTTCCTCAAAAAATCCATCCCCGACCCCCTTTTCTCAGACTACATTAGAAACGGTTAGTTTTTACTTAGTAGTGCCCGTAGTGGCCGTTCTTTCTTAATCACGATTCATTTATTTAACTGAAATTTGGAAATTTAACAATAGTAAGTTTGTATTATAAGTTGCTGAGCTGTATTTTAAATTTAACAATCGTAAGATTGTATTATAAGTTGCTGAGCTGTATTTTCAGTGATGGATGGCTCCTTACCGAGCTCTCTAAAGCACATCATCAGTAAGGCTGAGTACTACGGACCCTCTCTTTTCCTTTTAGGTCAGTTTTACTTCATTTCTCGTAATTTCTCTAAGTATTATTCATTTATACTTTATTCAGGTTTTTTTGTTACTCGTATGCTGCTTTCCAAAGAACCGGTAGAAATTTCCTGTTATGCGAAATATATTAAATAAATCAAGCCTTGATCTTGTCAGTTTTTTTATGTCAAACAGGTTCTTTTTTATTTTGTTTAAGCTGTGAAAAGATATTAACTATTGAATTAACATTTGGTTCTTGTTGCTATAGCTACGGAGGTAGTAACACTTTACGTGTTCCACGAACCTTCCCTCCTGTCAAGTTTACAAGACAGGAAATTAACTGACGTTATACTTGAAGCTCTTGTTGTCAAAGAGGTGGGTTTTCTTTACTTTTCCCAGCTTTTAGCTCCGGATTAACAAAACCCAAAAGTTGGCCCGATTTATTTTATAGGCAGATTTTACCGTCAATTTTTTCCGCCGTTCTTGCCCTATTTTGAAGCAATTATCAAAACAATGATAAAGTGAGCTGAACAAGCAAAATACCGAACTTGAAGAGTGTCAGTAAAATAAATGTCCCCTTTCTTGCAGGTACCCCCAACTAGAGAAGTGATAGCTTCCTTACCCAACATCCTCAGTGCACTGTGCCTCAACCAGCGAGGTCTGGAGGCCTTTATTCAGTGCAAACCTTTCGACAGGCTGTTCCACGTCCTGCTGTCTCCGCAATACCTTCCCGCTATGAGACGCCGGAGCAGTGATAGCTTAGGTAAGTTCCACGTCCTGCTGTCTCCACAATACCTTCCCGCTATGAGACGCCGGAGCAGTGATAGCTTAGGTAAGTTCCACGTCCTGCTGTCTCCACAATACCTTCCCGCTATGAGACGCCGGAGCAGTGATAGCTTAGGTAAGTTCCACGTCCTGCTGTCTCCACAATACCTTCCCGCTATGAGACGCCGGAGCAGTGATAGCTTAGGTAAGTTCCACGTCCTGCTGTCTCCACAATACCTTCCCGCTATGAGACGCCGGAGCAGTGATAGCTTAGGTAAGTTCCACGTCCTGCTGTCTCCGCAATACCTTCCCGCTATGAGACGCCGGAGCAGTGATAGCTTAGGTAAGTTCCACGTCCTGCTGTCTCCGCAATACCTTCCCGCTATGAGACGCCGGAGCAGTGATAGCTTAGGTAAGTTCCACGTCCTGCTGTCTCCGCAATACCTTCCCGCTATGAGACGCCGGAGCAGTGATAGCTTAGGTAAGTTCCACGTCCTGCTGTCTCCGCAATACCTTCCCGCTATGAGACGCCGGAGCAGTGATAGCTTAGGTAAGTTCCACGTCCTGCTGTCTCCGCAATACCTTCCCGCTATGAGACGCCGGAGCAGTGATAGCTTAGGTAAGTTCCACGTCCTGCTGTCTCCGCAATACCTTCCCGCTATGAGACGCCGGAGCAGTGATAGCTTAGGTAAGTTCCACGTCCTGCTGTCTCCACAATACCTTCCCGCTATGAGACGCCGGAGCAGTGATAGCTTAGGTAAGTTCCACGTCCTGCTGTCTCCGCAATACCTTCCCGCTATGAGACGCCGGAGCAGTGATAGCTTAGGTAAGTTCCACGTCCTGCTGTCTCCACAATACCTTCCCGCTATGAGACGCCGGAGCAGTGATAGCTTAGGTAAGTTCCACGTCCTGCTGTCTCCACAATACTTCCCGCTATGAGACGCCGGAGCAGTGATAGCTTAGGTAAGTTCCACGTCCTGCTGTCTCCACAATACCTTCCCGCTATGAGACGCCGGAGCAGTGATAGCTTAGGTAAGTTCCACGTCCTGCTGTCTCCGCAATACCTTCCCGCTATGAGACGCCGGAGCAGTGATAGCTTAGGTAAGTTCCACGTCCTGCTGTCTCCACAATACCTTCCCGCTATGAGACGCCGGAGCAGTGATAGCTTAGGTAAGTTCCACGTCCTGCTGTCTCCACAATACCTTCCCGCTATGAGACGCCGGAGCAGTGATAGCTTAGGTAAGTTCCACGTCCTGCTGTCTCCACAATACCTTCCCGCTATGAGACGCCGGAGCAGTGATAGCTTAGGTAAGTTCCACGTCCTGCTGTCTCCGCAATACCTTCCCGCTATGAGACGCCGGAGCAGTGATAGCTTAGGTAAGTTACTATACTATATTCCACGTCCTGCTGTCTCCGCAATACCTTCCCGCTATGAGACGCCGGAGCAGTGATAGCTTAGGTAAGATACTTTACTATATTCCACGTCCTGCTGTCTCCGCAATACCTTCCCGCTATGAGACGCCGGAGCAGTGATAGCTTAGGTAAGATACTATACTATATTCCACGTCCTGCTGTCTCCGCAATACCTTCCCGCTATGAGACGCCGGAGCAGTGATAGCTTAGGTAAGTTCCACGTCCTGCTGTCTCCACAATACCTTCCCGCTATGAGACGCCGGAGCAGTGATAGCTTAGGTAAGATACTTTACTATATTCCACGTTCTGCTGTCTCCGCAATACCTTCCCGCTATGAGACGCCGGAGCAGTGATAGCTTAGGTAAGATACTTTACTATATTCCACGTCCTGCTGTCTCCGCAATACCTTCCCGCTATGAGACGCCGGAGCAGTGATAGCTTAGGTAAGTTCCACGTCCTGCTGTCTCCACAATACCTTCCCGCTATGAGACGCCGGAGCAGTGATAGCTTAGGTAAGTTCCACGTCCTGCTGTCTCCACAATACCTTCCCGCTATGAGACGCCGGAGCAGTGATAGCTTAGGTAAGTTCCACGTCCTGCTGTCTCCGCAATACCTTCCCGCTATGAGACGCCGGAGCAGTGATAGCTTAGGTAAGTTCCACGTCCTGCTGTCTCCACAATACCTTCCCGCTATGAGACGCCGGAGCAGTGATAGCTTAGGTAAGTTCCACGTCCTGCTGTCTCCGCAATACCTTCCCGCTATGAGACGCCGGAGCAGTGATAGCTTAGGTAAGTTCCACGTCCTGCTGTCTCCGCAATACCTTCCCGCTATGAGACGCCGGAGCAGTGATAGCTTAGGTAAGTTCCACGTCCTGCTGTCTCCGCAATACCTTCCCGCTATGAGACGCCGGAGCAGTGATAGCTTAGGTAAGTTCCACGTCCTGCTGTCTCCACAATACCTTCCCGCTATGAGACGCCGGAGCAGTGATAGCTTAGGTAAGTTCCACGTCCTGCTGTCTCCACAATACTTTCCCGCTATGAGACGCCGGAGCAGTGATAGCTTAGGTAAGTTCCACGTCCTGCTGTCTCCACAATACCTTCCCGCTATGAGACGCCGGAGCAGTGATAGCTTAGGTAAGTTCCACGTCCTGCTGTCTCCGCAATACCTTCCCGCTATGAGACGCCGGAGCAGTGATAGCTTAGGTAAGTTCCACGTCCTGCTGTCTCCACAATACCTTCCCGCTATGAGACGCCGGAGCAGTGATAGCTTAGGTAAGTTCCACGTCCTGCTGTCTCCGCAATACCTTCCCGCTATGAGACGCCGGAGCAGTGATAGCTTAGGTAAGTTCCACGTCCTGCTGTCTCCGCAATACCTTCCCGCTATGAGACGCCGGAGCAGTGATAGCTTAGGTAAGTTCCACGTCCTGCTGTCTCCGCAATACCTTCCCGCTATGAGACGCCGGAGCAGTGATAGCTTAGGTAAGTTCCACGTCCTGCTGTCTCCGCAATACCTTCCCGCTATGAGACGCCGGAGCAGTGATAGCTTAGGTAAGTACCACGTCCTGCTGTCTCCACAATACCTTCCCGCTATGAGACGCCGGAGCAGTGATAGCTTAGGTAAGTTCCACGTCCTGCTGTCTCCGCAATACCTTCCCGCTATGAGACGCCGGAGCAGTGATAGCTTAGGTAAGTTCCACGTCCTGCTGTCTCCGCAATACCTTCCCGCTATGAGACGCCGGAGCAGTGATAGCTTAGGTAAGTTCCACGTCCTGCTGTCTCCACAATACCTTCCCGCTATGAGACGCCGGAGCAGTGATAGCTTAGGTAAGTTCCACGTCCTGCTGTCTCCGCAATACCTTCCCGCTATGAGACGCCGGAGCAGTGATAGCTTAGGTAAGTTCCACGTCCTGCTGTCTCCACAATACCTTCCCGCTATGAGACGCCGGAGCAGTGATAGCTTAGGTAAGTTCCACGTCCTGCTGTCTCCACAATACCTTCCCGCTATGAGACGCCGGAGCAGTGATAGCTTAGGTAAGTTCCACGTCCTTCTGTCTCCACAATACCTTCGCGCTATGAGACGCCGGAGCAGTGATAGCTTAGGTTAGATACTTCTTATTCCTTATTTCCTGTCACATGGTCCAGACATTTTGCGCTCATTGAGCATTGTGCATTTTTTGGTGTAATAGTGGGGGGGGGGCAGGGACAAAAGGATTTCGCGATCATTTTGGTCAAAAATCGCGGTACCGCGAAATTTAACAGGCTATACATTAAACTATACATAAAATTTGTCACGGAGAATGGGAAATTTCGCGATTTCGTACATGCCGCGAAATCCTTTTGTCTCTGGGGGGGGGGGGGGGGGGGGGGCAATAGTCCATTTGGAACTCCATTTTTCTTATCATTTATTAAAAAGACTAAAGTTTCGACCTCTGGTTTTTTTAAAACACTTTTCAGGAGACACGGCTACGAACCTAGGAACAGCTATGGATGAGTTGATGAGGCATCAACCTACACTGAGACACGATGCAATGACTGCAATCATCAAGGTAACATACTCCCTGGAACAATATTATTGAACCATTATCAAACCTTATTGAAATAAACTGTCTTTGGGCACTTTCAGAATAATCAGCAGTTGACAATGATCTCACTGAGTAAGATCAGTGCTACTAAACAGAACGTTATCCCCCCCCCCCCTACTAAACAGTATTAGAAGTATCGGTGGATATAATGCAGATATAGGGTATCCTCAGAAGTATCAGAAGTATATAGGTGTACTTATGCTAAAGCCTTTATTCATTAATTAGAATAAATAATATAAGTCAGGAGGTACTTACTGAGTAATGTCATGCTCATTGCTCAGGGGGGGGGGGGGGGGGGGTAGTTGCTCAGTAAGTCATGCGCGTCTAGACGGTATTTTCTGTAGGTAACGAGTTTAGAAATAAATTCTCCACAAACCAAGAAGTGCCCAACTTCTTTAAAATATTTAAAGACTATATTAACATAATATAATGTGTTTTAAAAGGACGTATTTATGTTTTTGACACATGGCAGCGTTAAGGGGACATACACCAAAACCATTTTTGCCGAGATTCGGGATTTGACTTCATATTATGAAAGTATAGATAAAAATAATAAGGTTTGATGCATTGAACATTTTTTTTGAGATTACGCACTTTCGAAAAAAATGTATTTTCTTTTTGGAAAGTTTTGGAAATTTTGAGAAGTCTGTCACTGTAATACCGATATTTCAGTCATTTTAAACATGTTTTGACTGATTTTTTGACTGAACATTATTGAAAATACGTACAAGAAGCCCTCCAAAGGATTTTATAATTGAAAAATAGATGACGAAGTTACAGACCAAACAAGGTCGAGAGAAGCAAAATTGAAATTTTTGCCTACTATCAGAGTTGTATATTTTACCAATCACCCAGGTCATAAGATATCGCTTCAAAAATTCGATAAGACGAATCTTTTAGTACCAAATAGATAATTTTAGAAGCAAAATTGTTTTAAATAATTTTCTAGCTCGAACACAAGGGTCCCCCCTTGTATAAATTTTGTACAAATTGTACACATTTTTTTACAAATTTAGTGTCTTTAAGTATTATAAATTTGGTACTTATCAAGCTGATTCGTCTTACCAAGCTGATTACGATTCTGTAAAAATCATTTCAAAAAAATGAGTTATAAGCATTTTAAGCCTTAAATCTGCCATTTCTGACCCTTTTTTACGATGAATTTTACTAAGTCCTTTGAGGCCAGATTTCATACCTTAAAATTCAAAATTGAGAGAAATCCTGTTCTAAAAAGTTGGATATGATCATCAGCTACACTCACAAGAATTTGTGAAGCGATATCTTATGACCTGGATCATTTATTGTTTAATTATAAAATCCTTTGGAGGGCTTCTTGTACCGATTGTAAATAATGTTCATTGAAAACATCAGCCAAAAAACATTTAAAATGACTGAAATATCGGTATGTATGTTATTACAGTGACAGACTTCTCAAAATTTCCAAAACTGAACCAACTTAACTTCTAGCAATACCTATATAATATATATATCTTAAAGTTAAGTACCTGTAACTCCTAACACTGAATCTCTGCAGCTGCTAAAGGAGGTGTGTATCATGGGGGAAGATGAGAATGTGATCGTGCAGAACATGTCCCTTTCTGGTGAACTTGCAGACAGGTACTGTGATGTACAATGTACTTTAATGTACTATGCACTGTGATGTACAATGTACTTTAATGTACTATACACTGTGATGTACAATGTACTTTAATGTACTATGTACTATGTTGTACTGTGATGTACTTTATGAAAGTTAAAAACGATCTGTTAATGCGAAGTTGAACTAAACAAGAAATTACTTACTTATTGAGCACTGAATTGGTGACAATTTCTTTGCTCAACTGAACGGTAGGTATTCTGTACTATATTCCGTAGTATACTACAACTGTACCATATAACCAGTGTGTATTGTTGCAGGGGTGATGAGAAGGGAGACGGGTCTGATGAGGATGATGAGGTAGTGATGAGGCGGGCTAAAGTATCAGCTGAGAACTCCCCTGCTGAACCCCTAGCTCTCACAGGAACCAGGTTTACAAGTTTTACAGATTTTAAATGAACCGGGAAAAGCGGTTTGGATTATTGTTTAGCTCTCACATTATGACGAGGTGGCGTGCCAGTGTTTTGACGTCATGTCACGTGTTATGACGTCACTTCACGTGTTATGACGTCACTTCACGTGTTATGACGTCACTTCACGTGTTATGACGTCACTTCACGTGTTATGAAGTCACTTCACGTGTTATGACGTCACTTCACGTGTTATGACGTCACTTCACGTGTTATGACGTCACTTCACGTGTTATGACGTCACTTCACGTGTTATGACGTCACTTCACGTGTTATGACGCCATGTCACGTGTTATGACGTCATTTCACGTGTTATGACGTCACTTCACGTGTTATGACGTCATTTCACGTGTTATGACGTCGTTTCACGTGTTATGACGTCACTTCACGTGTTATGACGTCACTTCACGTGTTATGACGTAACTTCACGTGTTATGACGTCACTTCACGTGTTATGACGTAACTTCACGTGTTATGACGTCATGTCTCGTGTAATGACACCATGTCACGTGTTATGACGTCATTTCACGTGTTATGACGTCATTTCACGTGTTATGACGTCATGTCACGTTTTATGACGTCATTTCACGTGTTATGACGTCACTTCACGTGTATCTAACCCCCAGTAGCAGCAGTACGAGCCCCACTAAACAGAGTCTCCCCCTGATGGAGTACGTGTACAATGTAGTCAGGTTTATTGACGCTATTCTCAGTAACAACGCTACTGACGATCACTGCAAGGAGTTTGTTAAACAAGGTCAGTTCCATAAGGAGTACTTAATAAAATTACATCTAAAGTCTTGTATTGGAGTTGGGGGGGGGGGGGGGGGGGGTTACAACTTTGAAGTGACTCAGTACCTATTACATTTCATCGAGAATTGATTAAGATTAAGCAGTGTTACTGATTAGTCTTTTACTCTTTTTATTCTTCTTGGCACGAATTAAATGAGATCGGCGAGATTTCGTTTTCTGGCAACTGCATCATTTCGCCAAAATGTGAAATTAATGACATAAATACAACCCAGCATAATTGCGTGAACAAGCTAATCTTATATAAAATACAAGTAGCTATTGAGGTTTATTTCAGGTGGGTTGGAACCGCTGATAAAGATTCCTTCGCTGCCCAACATTGCCATTCAGTTCGCTTCATCTCGAGCCTGCATGGATGTAGCCATTACTCTTAAAGACATATTGGCAAGTTTAATTTTGTAATAATTTTCATTAACCAATCAGTATTCAGTTTTAGTTATATTAACGTTTTAGTAATATTAATGTGAAAATATTTAACATATTTACCCTGGCAGACGTTATCTCAAGACGGGACAGTGATAGTTCAGTGCTTCAACCAGATAGATCAGCTGATAAAACAACTGGAGCCAATGTACAATCCTACTTCAGAGTCTTATCTTGTCAACGAACTTTCCAGGTATGTTCAATATATAACTACTATACTACTAGATACTACTACTATAACTCCTACTATACTACTATTACTACTACTATAACTCAATATAACTACTATACTACTAGATACTACTACTATAACTCAATATAACTACTATACTACTAGATACTACTACTATAACTCAATATAACTACTATACTACTAGATACTACTACTATAACTCAATATAACTACTATACTACTAGATACTACTACTATAACTCAATATAACTACTATACTACTAGATACTACTACTATAACTCAATACAACTACTATACTACTAGATACTACTACTATAACTCAATATAACTACTGAATACGCAGTTGTTATTGTAAGGGAAGGCATTTCACGTTCTTCATTCAGTTGTAACGGAGGGGGGAGGGGGGGGGGGGGGGCAATTGTAACATTCAGCTCCAAAAAATATTGTCAAAAGAATTGCAAATATGCGAAATATTATGTACTACTATATACGCCCTTTCAAAGTTTTAATGAACAATTTGATTGGTACCCATTTTACAATGGTGGTGGACTGAAATGTTTTCCAGAAAGTATTACTGTGTTACTGGCACATCACACGTTGACGACCAACAAAACTTTTACCTCAAAACGAAATATAATGACTATCTTCGAGCTATTTAGGTTTTACAATGCCAAGCACCACCGCGGAATTTCAGTTCCATTTACCTCATGAAATACATAACTGTGCGCATTCTTTTAGACCCTGTCTTAAAGTCTCATTGTTGTAAATTTATGTAAAGAGATAATATATTTATTTAAATTTTCCAATAGTGTTATTATGTTTGTACATGCTTGTATATTTCTTAACTAATTTAATTAAAGACTTTAGGGCCTCCGGGTACTGGGTAGTGAAAGGAAAAGTCTTAAAAAAGAAAAACAGTCGTTATTGCGGCTATTCGAAAATTAAGACTTTTCAATTAATAGTCGAATAGTACATCTATCATTAAATCAATAAATAAGTTACCTAATTAATCAATAACTTTCCCTCAGGTCCGCTACTCCGACTCAGCCTTACAACTCTGCTAAAAGTACGCCCCTCCTCCACACAATCACCGCCCTGGAGAGCTACACCACCTTGCTTATCAGCCTCTGTAAAGTCGGCCAGGTAGGTAACAGTAGGTAACACTACACCACCTTGCTTATCAGCCTCTGTAAAGTCGGCCAGGTAGGTAACAGTAGGTAACACTACACACGGGTAGGTAACAGTAGGTAACACTACACACGGGTAGGTAACAGTAGGTAACACTACACACGGGTAGGTAACAGTAGGTAACACTACACCACCTTGCTTATCAGCCTCTGTAAAGTCGGCCAGGTAGGTAACAGTAGGTAACACTACACCACCTTGCTTATCAGCCTCTGTAAAGTCGGCCAGGTAGGTAACAGTAGGTAACACTACACCACCTTGCTTATCAGCCTCTGTAAAGTCGGCCAGGTAGGTAACAGTAGGTAACACTACACCACCTTGCTTATCAGCCTCTGTAAAGTCGGCCAGGTAGGTAACAGTAGGTAACACTACACCACCTTGCTTATCAGCCTCTGTAAAGTCGGCCAGGTAGGTAACAGTAGGTAACACTACACCACCTTGCTTATCAGCCTCTGTAAAGTCGGCCAGGTAGGTAACAGTAGGTAACACTACACCACCTTGCTTATCAGCCTCTGTAAAGTCGGCCAGGTAGGTAACAGTAGGTAACACTACACCACCTTGTTTATCAGCCTCTGTAAAGTCGGCCAGGTAGGTAACAGTAGGTAACACTACACCACCTTGCTTATCAGCCTCTGTAAAGTCGGGCCAGGTAGGTAACAGTAGGTAACACTACACCACCTTGCTTATCAGCCTCTGTCGGCCAGGTAGGTAACAGTAGGTAACACTACACACGGGTAGGTAACAGTAGGTAACACTACACCACCTTGCTTATCAGCCTCTGTAAAGTCGGCCAGGTAGGTAACAGTAGGTAACACTACACCACCTTGCTTATCAGCCTCTGTAAAGTCGGCCAGATAGGTAACAGTAGGTAACACTACACCACCTTGCTTATCAGCCTCTGTAAAGTCGGCCAGGTAGGTAACAGTAGGTAACACTACACCACCTTGCTTATCAGCCTCTGTAAAGTCGGCCAGGTAGGTAACAGTAGGTAACACTACACCACCTTGCTTATCAGCCTCTGTAAAGTCGGCCAGGTAGGTAACAGTAGGTAACACTACACCACCTTGCTTATCAGCCTCTGTAAAGTCGGCCAGGTAGGTAACAGTAGGTAACACTACACCACCTTGCTTATCAGCCTCTGTAAAGTCGGCCAGGTAGGTAACAGTAGGTAACACTACACCACCTTGCTTATCAGCCTCTGTAAAGTCGGCCAGGTAGGTAACAGTAGGTAACACTACACCACCTTGCTTATCAGCCTCTGTAAAGTCGGCCAGGTAGGTAACAGTAGGTAACACTACACCACCTTGCTTATCAGCCTCTGTAAAGTCGGCCAGGTAGGTAACAGTAGGTAACACTACACCACCTTGCTTATCAGCCTCTGTAAAGTCGGCCAGGTAGGTAACAGTAGGTAACACTACACCACCTTGCTTATCAGCCTCTGTAAAGTCGGCCAGGTAGGTAACAGTAGGTAACACTACACCACCTTGCTTATCAGCCTCTGTAAAGTCGGCCAGGTAGGTAACAGTAGGTAACACTACACCACCTTGCTTATCAGCCTCTGTAAAGTCGGCCAGGTAGGTAACAGTAGGTAACACTACACCACCTTGCTTATCAGCCTCTGTAAAGTCGGCCAGGTAGGTAACAGTAGGTAACACTACACCACCTTGCTTATCAGCCTCTGTAAAGTCAGCCAGGTAGGTAACAGTAGGTAACACTACACCACCTTGCTTATCAGCCTCTGTAAAGTCGGCCAGGTAGGTAACAGTAGGTAACACTACACCACCTTGCTTATCAGCCTCTGTAAAGTCGGCCAGGTAGGTAACAGTAGGTAACACTACACCACCTTGCTTATCAGCCTCTGTAAAGTCGGCCAGGTAGGTAACAGTAGGTAACACTACACCACCTTGCTTATCAGCCTCTGTAAAGTCGGCCAGGTAGGTAACAGTAGGTAACACTACACCACCCTGCTTATCAGCCTCTGTAAAGTCGGCCAGGTAGGTAACAGTAGGTAACACTACACCACCTTGCTTATCAGCCTCTGTAAAGTCGGCCAGGTAGGTAACAGTAGGTAACACTACACCACCTTGCTTATCAGCCTCTGTAAAGTCGGCCAGGTAGGTAACAGTAGGTAACACTACACCACCTTGCTTATCAGCCTCTGTAAAGTCGGGCCAGGTAGGTAACAGTAGGTAACACTACACCACCTTGCTTATCAGCCTCTGTCGGCCAGGTAGGTAACAGTAGGTAACACTACACCACCTTGCTTATCAGCCTCTGTAAAGTCGGCCAGGTAGGTAACAGTAGGTAACACTACACACGGGTAGGTAACAGTAGGTAACACTACACCACCTTGCTTATCAGCCTCTGTAAAGTCGGCCAGATAGGTAACAGTAGGTAACACTACACCACCTTGCTTATCAGCCTCTGTAAAGTCGGCCAGGTAGGTAACAGTAGGTAACACTACACCACCTTGCTTATCAGCCTCTGTAAAGTCGGCCAGGTAGGTAACAGTAGGTAACACTACACCACCTTGCTTATCAGCCTCTGTAAAGTCGGCCAGGTAGGTAACAGTAGGTAACACTACACCACCTTGCTTATCAGCCTCTGTAAAGTCGGCCAGGTAGGTAACAGTAGGTAACACTACACCACCTTGCTTATCAGCCTCTGTAAAGTCGGGCCAGGTAGGTAACAGTAGGTAACACTACACCACCTTGCTTATCAGCCTCTGTCGGCCAGGTAGGTAACAGTAGGTAACACTACACCACCTTGCTTATCAGCCTCTGTAAAGTCGGCCAGGTAGGTAACAGTAGGTAACACTACACACGGGTAGGTAACAGTAGGTAACACTACACCACCTTGCTTATCAGCCTCTGTAAAGTCGGCCAGATAGGTAACAGTAGGTAACACTACACCACCTTGCTTATCAGCCTCTGTAAAGTCGGCCAGGTAGGTAACAGTAGGTAACACTACACCACCTTGCTTATCAGCCTCTGTAAAGTCGGCCAGGTAGGTAACAGTAGGTAACACTACACCACCTTGCTTATCAGCCTCTGTAAAGTCGGGCCAGGTAGGTAACAGTAGGTAACACTACACCACCTTGCTTATCAGCCTCTGTCGGCCAGGTAGGTAACAGTAGGTAACACTACACCACCTTGCTTATCAGCCTCTGTAAAGTCGGCCAGGTAGGTAACAGTAGGTAACACTACACCACCTTGCTTATCAGCCTCTGTAAAGTCGGCCAGGTAGGTAACAGTAGGTAACACTACACCACCTTGCTTATCAGCCTCTGTAAAGTCGGCCAGGTAGGTAACAGTAGGTAACACTACACCACCTTGCTTATCAGCCTCTGTAAAGTCGGCCAGGTAGGTAACAGTAGGTAACACTACACCACCTTGCTTATCAGCCTCTGTAAAGTCGGCCAGGTAGGTAACAGTAGGTAACACTACACCACCTTGCTTATCAGCCTCTGTAAAGTCGGGCCAGGTAGGTAACAGTAGGTAACACTACACCACCTTGCTTATCAGCCTCTGTCGGCCAGGTAGGTAACAGTAGGTAACACTACACACGGGTAGGTAACAGTAGGTAACACTACACACGGGTAGGTAACAGTAGGTAACACTACACCACCTTGCTTATCAGCCTCTGTAAAGTCGGCCAGATAGGTAACAGTAGGTAACACTACACCACCTTGCTTATCAGCCTCTGTAAAGTCGGCCAGGTAGGTAACAGTAGGTAACACTACACCACCCTGCTTATCAGCCTCTGTAAAGTCGGCCAGGTAGGTAACAGTAGGTAACACTACACCACCTTGCTTATCAGCCTCTGTAAAGTCGGCCAGGTAGGTAACAGTAGGTAACACTACACCACCTTGCTTATCAGCCTCTGTAAAGTCGGCCAGGTAGGTAACAGTAGGTAACACTACACCACCTTGCTTATCAGCCTCTGTAAAGTCGGCCAGGTAGGTAACAGTAGGTAACACTACACCACCTTGCTTATCAGCCTCTGTAAAGTCGGCCAGGTAGGTAACAGTAGGTAACACTACACCACCTTGCTTATCAGCCTCTGTAAAGTCGGCCAGGTAGGTAACAGTAGGTAACACTACACCACCTTGCTTATCAGCCTCTGTAAAGTCGGCCAGGTAGGTAACAGTAGGTAACACTACACCACCTTGCTTATCAGCCTCTGTAAAGTCGGCCAGGTAGGTAACAGTAGGTAACACTACACCACCTTGCTTATCAGCCTCTGTAAAGTCGGCCAGGTAGGTAACAGTAGGTAACACTACACCACCTTGCTTATCAGCCTCTGTAAAGTCGGCCAGGTAGGTAACAGTAGGTAACACTACACCACCTTGCTTATCAGCCTCTGTAAAGTCGGCCAGGTAGGTAACAGTAGGTAACACTACACCACCTTGCTTATCAGCCTCTGTAAAGTCGGCCAGGTAGGTAACAGTAGGTAACACTACACCACCTTGCTTATCAGCCTCTGTAAAGTCGGGCCAGGTAGGTAACAGTAGGTAACACTACACCACCTTGCTTATCAGCCTCTGTAAAGTCGGCCAGGTAGGTAACAGTAGGTAACACTACACCACCTTGCTTATCAGCCTCTGTAAAGTCGGCCAGGTAGGTAACAGTAGGTAACACTACACCACCTTGCTTATCAGCCTCTGTAAAGTCGGCCAGGTAGGTAACAGTAGGTAACACTACACCACCTTGCTTATCAGCCTCTGTAAAGTCGGCCAGATAGGTAACAGTAGGTAACACTACACCACCTTGCTTATCAGCCTCTGTAAAGTCGGCCAGGTAGGTAACAGTAGGTAACACTACATGACACCACCTTGCTTATCAGCCTCTGTCGGCCAGGTAGGTAACAGTAGGTAACACTACACACGGGGGCCAGGTAGGTGACAGTAGGTAACACTACACAAGGGGGCCAGGTAGGTAACAGTAGGTAACACTACACACGGGGGCCAGGTAGGTGACAGTAGGTAACACTACACACGGGGGCCAGGTAGGTAACAGTAGGTAACACTACACACGGGGGCCAGGTAGGTGACAGTAGGTAACACTACACAGTAGGTAACACTACACACGGGGGGTAGTGTCTGATCGTGTCGCTTATTCTGTGTGGAATAAGCTGGCTGCCTGGCTGTCAGCTTCTATTTGTGTAATCATACTGATCTTGCAGTAGGACAGTTTTTAAAACATGAAAAATAAAATTATGTGGGGCAGTTTGTAAAACCTCACCTCAGCGCAATTTCCAGGTCGACATGAGGACAGTTTGTATCGCAAAGTGGGGCAGCGACCAAGGACTAGCTATTATAAACAAGTTGTCCCACTTATACTCGGCTATAGTGTGGGAGAATGACCTTCTGGGTCTGCTGAGTCCTCCTTATAATCACACCCAGGGCAGGGGTGATTTGGAGAAACTTATTGAGGTTATCGGGCCAAATCCTGTTATTAGTAAGTCAGCTTTCCCCACTTCTCAACAGATTGTTTATTGCTTTTAGGTTTTTGTTACCGAATCACGACATGACATTTTAAAGTTTGGATTTTATCAGCGTTGATTCTGTTAAATAGTTAAAAGTTACCATGTGCATTGTGCAGTTATACACACTTCCCCAGAACTGAAGGGGAAAGAACGGAAGGACAAGTCTCCGCCTCATATTCGACTGATAAAACCGCTGTGGCAATCAGTAGACAGGTTGAGAAAGCACCTGGCTGCCTTTCTAACTGTCCTGTGTAAACTGAGTTGTGGCCACACTCGTGTTAGACGGTAAGTTACTACTCGTGTTAGACGGTAAGTTACTACTATATATACTATACTACTAGATACTACTACTCGTGTTAGACGGTACGTTACTACTATATATATATACTAGATACTACTACTCGTGTTAGACGGTAAGTTTAAACTACTATAACTCAATATAACTACTATACTACTAGATACTACTACTCGTGTTAGACGGTAAGTTTAAACTACTATAACTCAATATAACTACTATACTACTAGATACTACTACTCGTGTTAGACGGTAAGTTTAAACAGTTAACTATATATGTATACTACTAGATACTACTACTCGTGTTAGACGGTACGTTACTACTATATATAACTCAATATAACTACTATACTACTAGATACTACTACTCGTGTTAGACGGTAAGTTTAAACTGTTAACGGTCCTCCTAAAGTCCTATTTATTGAGACCCCTTAAGGGGGCATACACCAAATCTGTCCAGACCAAATGACCTCATAGGCAGTTCAGTGACCTTCTAGCGCACCGTTTCCACACCAAAAAAAATTATTTTGAGAATACCTATTTTTGTAATCGAGCATTTCCTGGTTAGAGTGGAATTTTCGGAAAAACACAATATGTTTGGTGGAGAGGCTATAAGTTAATCATTTCTTGCGGTATCGGGTTGAAATTTTGCTCGCTGTTTATTCAAATCTATTTCAAGGTGTGTGTAAAATCTTGATATCGTATCTAAAAAGGCTGGTGTGCTATAAATTTTTAAAGTTTAAAAAAGTCAAAAAGCTGAAATTGTCCTTTTTTAACCAAAAAGTCAGTCAGGGAAGATCGGATTCATTTGATGCTGGACATAAAATTGTTCTCTGAATTCTGGCGCAGTTTTTGATGCCCTCAAAAATGGTTTTACTCATTTATCTTCAGATCTATTGGACTTCAAAGCCAAACAACAAATTTACCTAGGCACATTTTTCGTTTTTCATATTTACTGATTTTTCTAAAATTTTGATGGGATTGTGCTAGTGACTTTTTGAAGGGCGCAAAATAACCGCAACTAGCACATTTATATATGAGTTATGAACAACAAAACGCCCTAAAATGCTTCCCTTTGAAGTTATGGGAGAAAATGTGATTTTTTGGCTTTGCATCTATAAAAAATCACATTTTAACCTGACATGTTTTCTTGGGTAAATTTCTATTGATCCCGTAATGACACAATATAACATTTACAGTAATGTTGAAAGTATTAAAACATTAACTGACACTAACCCGCCCTACCCTTCAGTACGATGGGTAACAAGCCCGTACCCAGCACTCATCAGTGTGATATAGCTAAACACATTATCAAGTTCGTAGTGAACGGGTTGACGTGGAGACCTCCCAACATCCCCAACATCCACCCAAGAGTTAGCCTCATGGCCATGATCGATCATATTGGTAAGTGTACCGTTACTAGTCAGTAGGGGAAAATGGGCGATTAGGTTTGGCCTCTATACGGCCACTATACGGCCTCTATACGGCCTCTATACGGCCTCTATACGACCTTTATACGGCCTTTATACGGCCTTTATACGGCCACTATACGGCCACAATACGGCCATTATACGGCCTTTATACGGCCACTATACGGCAACTAGCCGGTTAGTGACCACAAAGTGGCTACTAACCGGCTACTAGGCGGTCACTAGCCGGCTATTAGCTGAGCTCTAAATCAGACCTACTTTCTCGAGGTTCCAAACCGGCTACTAGACGGCACTTGAAAAGTGGTCACTAACCGGCTACTAACCGGCTACTAACCGGCCACTAGCCGGTCACTAGCCGGCTACTAACCGGCACTTAGCTACGTTATAAAGAAGACCCGATTATTCGAGGTTAAGTGCGGGTTAGTAGCCGGCTAGTGGCCGGTTTCATGTAAAATATCTTTTAAGTGGCCGTATAAAGGCCGTATAGTGGCCGTATAGAGGCCGTATAGTGGCCGTATAAAGGCCGTATAGTGGCCATATAAAGGCCGTGTAGGGGCCTTATAGAGGCCGTATAGAGGCCGTATAGAGGCCAAACCTAATCGCCCATTTTTTCCCGTCAGTACCTACTGTTACTAGTCTGTAGCTACCGTTACTAGTCTGTAGCTGTTCGTACAGGACAGAGTTTATGATTTAATTAATAACGCAAAAAGTTAATAGATGTGATTTACATCACATTTTACTGTAATGACCAATACTAAAAGGCAATTGTCCACCTGATCTGACTGCCCATGGTTTGCAGGTCTAGCAGGACAGATTCTGTACAGTGAGTCCCAGCAGCCCTACCACCTGATGTTACTGGAGTTTGACAGAGCCCAGGGTCTCCAGGCTCTGGTGGGCACTTACGAGTGGTCTGCTAGCATACCTAAACAAGGTTAGTAGACAGGATACTTGCAGTCTGCAGTCTGGGGTTACCTTATCGGACCTTATTTGGACGGGCATTACTTGAACGCTGGAGGCCCTAGCGTTCATCTTAATGTCCGTTCAAATAAAGTCCGTTCAATTAATGTCCGTCCAAGTTAAAGTCCGTTGAAGTTTTTTCAAAACTTTTTCCATTTCGAACTTTTTGTCCAGAATATGACAATTTTGAGAACTTCATTGTGCCGTAAGTTAACGACGGAAAGGTTCTCATTGGTCTGCCGGAGGCACAGAAAACTGTACTAGTATATGATGTTTTCAAGGGTCACTTGGCGGAAAAAAGTCAACGAAATTATGGCACTCAACAACATAGTTCATGAACTAGTCCCCGCCAACATGACAAACTTGTTCCAGCCTCTAGATATTACGGTAAATCGTGTTGCCAAGGACATTGTCCGACGTTGTTATAGCTCATATTACTCAGGGGCGGTAATGAAACAGTGCTAGGAAAGCTCCACGTGATGTTAAGGTTAACCTTAAGTTGTCTAAGATAAAACCACTTCACGCCGAATGGCTTGTAAAAGTTAACACTGAAATGCAGGACCGGGGTAGTTTGATAAAAAACGGTTTCCATAAAGCTAGAAATCACTGATGCTTTAATGCATGGACTATTTCATGCACGAAAACCCATTTGATGAAGATGATATGTGATATTAAAAACTGATCATGTACACATATTTTAATATTTTTACTGCTTAATGACTGCTTTTCTTACTTACTGTATAAAAAATGGATTTAAAAATTATTTGCTAAAATTAAAAATACATCAAAAAAATTGAAAAAAATTCGGATTTTTGATGGTTTTGAATGCCTTCGAGCGTTCATATTAATGTCCGTTCATAATTATGTCCGTTCATGTAATGTCCGTCCAAATAAGGTCCGATAAGGTATGTTGTTTACTAATGTATCTCTACTATATAATTCAGAGAATTCGCTGTGTAGTTTGTACACTGTACGACCGCCCACGTGCAAATTAGGTAAAAAGCAAAAGGTTGCAAAGTAACCATGGTAACGAGGGTTGTTACACGCACGTGCACGTGCAAAGATTGTTAAAACGGAATTTTTATCGGTTTTGTTGATATTACGTTGTGTTTAGTATAGTGCGAGCAACATTTTAATCGGCTGTATCTTCGATTGTGTAGGATATTTTTTAACGCGATTTAAACTTACAAACAAAAAATACAATTAGCTTCCTCCCTGTGACCACGGGCTTTCTAATATATATAAAATACTACACTAGTTTAACCCGTGCCTTCGGCCGGGATTTCAATATCGCAGTTGAATTGCAAAAGCATGAACTTGCCCAGTCGAAACCGGCCGCATTATAGTCAATTTAATTCTGAACGCCCAACACTTATCTAATAGTAATACTTAATACTTAAATAGGCAATCTTGCGACTTCTGCAGTGGCTCTACAGCCAAATTACCTAATTATATACCAGAGCTGTAATTAGGGGGGCTGTAAATGGAGAGAGATAGTGCACGAGAGAGAGAGAGAGTGTGAGAAAAAGTGAGACACTTTAGTATCACATTTGGGGAACAAAACCATCAATTAAACCACTTACCGCCGGCCGATTTAGAAAAGCTTTGCTTTAAATCGGCTTCGTCAGAGTTTTGTCTAAACTAAACCGAGAAACCCAGTCCCATAACTCTTACCGTTTTCTTGATTAAACTGTTCGGAAATCACCCACAGACAGACACACAAACACACACACACACACACATTTTGGGATTATTAGTATAGATGCGTTGTTATGTAACTATGGTTACTACTAAAGTTACTATGGTTACTGTAGTTTCAATATTAGTCCCTATACTCGGATACTCTAATAGTAACTTTATAGTTACTATGGTTACTATTAGTATTATGTCACCTATATTTATAATAACATCTCCCAGATAACAAGGACCTAGTGCCTGGATCGGGAGAGTTCATGGTGGCGTGGCTGACCCTGATAAAGAAGCTGATAGACGTGAAGCAGGTGATTGAGTCCTCCCACTCTCTGCCTTCTCAGACAGTGCCTCCCTCCAATCAGTACAAACAGTTCGAGTTCGAACCTGTACACTTCCTGGCTAAATCTCACAAGGTAGGAACTGAGTTACTATACTAGTAACCATAGTAACTAGTAACTATAGTAATTATATTAGTAACCATAGTAACTAGTAACTATATTAATAACCTGTACACTTCCTGGCTAAATCTCACAAGGTAGGGACTAGGAACTAAGTTACTATATTAGTAACCATAGTAACTAGTAACTATAGTAATTATATTAGTAACCATAGTAACTAGTAACTATATTAATAACCTGTACACTTCCTGGCTTAATCTTACTAAGTACGGAATTGCATTGGCTGATTAATAATGACAGGCAAGAAAATAAAGATATAATAATTTAAAACCATTATCATAGCAACTACATATGTCCTCTATATAATGCAATATTTCTTCAGTCGATTGTAAGAAAACTATTCATCATTATTGACTTTATCTTCAGTTCGCATTTGAAGTGATAAGTCAGCTATGGGACGAACTATACGCTTACTCAGGGATGAAAACTCTTAAGAATGAGATTGGGCCCATTACTGAGCACGTGATTGTCATCCTAAAACACCTTCTGAAGGGTACGTTGGAATTGTAATGGACTTTTTATTGGGTTGTTAGCCGGAATTCAGTTTTTCAGAATTAGTTAGTTTTAAATGATCACCTTGAGTTGTAACAAACAGTTCATTAATACTCCTTTGTGCAGGAGATTTGCAAGACAAGATACAAAAACTAGATAAGAAGAACGAAGACGGGACCTCTAGTAAGAGCATTAACGAATCTTCCGTCCAGCCAAGCGAGCATCTAGTTCAACAGGTATATATTATATGACGTATATATATTATATATAGGTAACATATACTATACTATAACAGGTAGTTTAAAAGATGAGGGGAGCTTAGAATTTACTTCCAAAGATTCGCGTTTAAGTCCTTCAAAAGTGGGGGGGGGGGGCAACCATATTAAAGTATATTAAAGTATATCCCCGGGTCAAAATCGGAAAAAATCCTACATTTTAATATACTTTAATATACATACAATTAGAAGATTTATATTCTTCGTTAAGATTTACATGATGAACTATATTTTTCACTCAGATTCGCAAGATAAGCCTGTTTTAGGACTAGTACATGAATTTCCATCCAGATTGGTCAAAAATTGGCTGAGCTATGAGCTTTAAAAAATATGCCCATATTTGGGCATACGCTTTTGCCCAAATTCGCTTTTGCCCAAATTCGATAAAATTTCAATATTTTTTAATGAGACTAACTCTATGTGAAAGATATAACTCAGTGTTTGTTGAATATAGTGGATACTAAGTAAAAAGACCTCCATGAACAAAATTGGGAAAATTGCACATAATATCTCGGTTCGGAATACTAGCCAAAATGACTTCATTAAAATTGAAATAACTCCATCAGTTTTCAATATTTTTTCAAGAACTTTTTGGAATCGATTAAGAATTGCATTTCAAGCTTATTTTGGGCGACAATTTTTGATGTAGGCCTCCAAGGAGATAGGGATATATTAAAGTATATTGTAGGTATATTAAAGTATATCCCCGGGTCAAAATCGGGAAAAATCCTACATTTTAATATACTAATATGGTTGGCCCCCCCCCCCCCCCCCCCCCAAAGTGTGTAGAATCAAAAAATACACCGGACTTCCGTTCTTTATTTAATTTGAAATTAAATAAAATGTAATATTTTGCCACTAATGTAATATTTTGCCACTAATTAAATGGGTTAGAGCAGGGTTAAAAGTCAAACTTTCTCCTCAGTTGATGGATATGGGATTCGCTCGACAGCACGCGGTTGAAGCCCTGATACACTCTAACAACAACATGACAGCTGCTACTGAGTATGTGCTGACACGACCCTCCCTCTCTATACCAATGGTAAGTCAGCATCTACTGAGTACATTGAGGGTTTCCAATTGTCCGAGGTTTCATCCAGCTCTTAAGGGTCTCTTTTGTTCCGACTATTTAGTTATGATATTGAATTTAAGTCGGGGTTATACTCGCTCTCTCTTTTGTTCCGACTATTTAGTTATGATATTGAATTTAAGTCGGGGTTATACTCGCTATCTCGTCTACAAACAGATCCCAGTGAAGACTGAAGGGGAGTCTCATTCTTATACCGTGGTTTCTAGATCCTTGTCTTCGGTAAAGTTAGCTGATCCTCCTTAGTTATTGCTTAAAACAAGGTCAACAGACTGCTTTATTGACCCTGTTTTCTCTTTGAAGTCCCTCTTTACGAAATCCCTGAACCCTTTTATCCTCAAATAGTAAATAAGTGGATTGACCACACTGTTACCTGCAGTTAAGACGGTCGCAAATACTACCCACATATACTGTCTCTCAAAGTCCGCACTGAAGAATCTGAAGTGAGATTGTCCCAAATCTGGTGATGTTGTTCCCTCTTAGCTGGATTGACCATCTTGCAAAGTAAATGTAGTACATCAGGGTTGGCACGTTGCAAAGTAAATGTAGTACATCAGGGTTGGCACGTTGCAAAGTAAATGTAGTACATCAGGGTTGGCACGTTGCAAAGTAAATGTAGTACATCAGGGTTGGCACGTTGCAAAGTAAATGTAGTACATCAGGGTTGGCACGTTGCAAAGTAAATGTAGTACATCAGGGTTGGCACGTTGCAAAGTAAATGTAGTACATCAGGGTTGGCACGTTGCAAAGTAAATGTAGTACATCAGGGTTGGCACGTTGCAAAGTAAATGTAGTACATCAGGGTTGGCACGTTGCAAAGTAAATGTAGTACATCAGGGTTGGCACGTTGCAAAGTAAATGTAGTACATCAGGGTTGGCACGTTGCAAAGTAAATGTAGTACATCAGGGTTGGCACGTTGCAAAGTAAATGTAGTACATCAGGGTTGGCACGTTGCAAAGTAAATGTAGTACATCAGGGTTGGCACGTTGCAAAGTAAATGTAGTACATCAGGGTTGGCACGTTGCAAAGTAAATGTAGTACATCAGGGTTGGCACGTTGCAAAGTAAATGTAGTACATCAGGGTTGGCACGTTGCAAAGTAAATGTAGTACATCAGGGTTGGCACGTTGCAAAGTAAATGTAGTACATCAGGGTTGGCACGTTGAATACAATGTAGATCAATGTGATAAGGATTAAGGATGACCGTTTGGCATGCTCCTCGCTGCTTGGAAACCCTTATTCTCCTTCTTTTCTCCCTGTGAACCTTGCAGCTCTTAACACTACCGCCCAACTCCACTCTGACATATAATATTCCTCCAGAAATTAGAAATACAACTGACTGCTGTTATCTTTGAAATCAGGGCCAGTTCTTGAGATATCTTTTCTTCCCCAGTATTTAACTCTCACAATCCCACAGCCAGACAGTGATTTGTCGGAGGAGGAGGCGATGATGCAAGCTATCGCGATGTCTCTAGCAGTAGAGGAAGAAGGAGCTCACCCTGCTGAGGAGAAGGAGCCAGAGGAGCCCCAGCCAGAGATAGAGTATGTTACGGAAGATAAACTGTGGAGTCTCTACGATAAAATACTCGGTCAGTAATACGTCCCTGTTTACGTTATGATAGTTGATCAGGGCGGTACCGGCAGTTCTAATGACCATTTACAAAATTATAACAATAAATAACACTTCAACCACATGTATTGCCGTGTTCAGTTAAAATAATTTATGGGTATACTTTCGGTATATAGTACTATTATAGTAACCACATTAGTTTGGCAGACCTCTTTTAATGGCTACTATGATTCCTATTTTGTGAGACGTATGCATTCAGGCGGGGATTTCTGGTTGGGTATGCTCAAACTGGGCCATAAGAGCCAGACTTACTATACCTTATAGGACCTTATTTGAACATACATTAATTGAACGCTGCACTGGAGGTCCTAGTGTTCATCTTAATGTCCGTTCAAATAAAGTCCGTCCGTTTAAGGTCCGTCCAAGTTAAAGTCCGTTGAATTTTTTTCCAAAATTATTCCACTGCACACTCATATTCTTAGTATTATGGCATGATCACTTGATCTGCGGCTTCCTCGTTCACTTCTTCGGAGTTACTAAATTTACACTGAAATGCAAGACCGGGGTGGTCTAACAAAAAAAGGGTTTTTAAAAAGCGGGTATTACTGATGCTTTAAGCATGAATTATTATCAAATGACAATTAATAACAATCATTTGGAGATTTATATCAAAAGTGGTGACCCCACTAATTTCAGCTGGATGTATCAAGTTGTTGGAGGATGTGCCCTCTGCAGTGTTTAAGATTGGAGACCTGTTAGCGGTTATTATGGACCGTAAAGGAGACATGTCTAGAGCAGATACCATTTCTAGGATACTCCCCCTGGTTTGTTCCTCTTAATTTTCCTTATTGTTACTTTAAATTCAAGTTACTTATATTATTGGGTATTTGATTAACTCCCCCCCCTGGTTAACTTCAATACGTGCCACAGCCCACAGGTGGTGGAAGGGGTGAAACATTTGATTAACTTCCCCCCCCCCCCCCCCCGGTAAACTTCAATACGTGCCACAGGTGGTGGAAGGGGTGAAGCCCCCCCCCCCCCCCCCCCGGTTAACTTCAATACGTGGCACAGGTGGTGGAAGGGGTAAAGCTTCCCCCCCCCCCGGTTAACTTCAATACGTGGCACAGGTGGTGGAAGGGGTGAAGCCCCCCCCCCCCCCCCCCCCCCCCGGTTAACTTCAATACGTGGCACAGGTGGTGGAAGGGGTGAAGCACCCCCCCCCCCCCCGGTTAACTTCAATACGTGGCACAGGTGGTGGAAGGGGTAAAGCTCCCCCCCCCCCCGGTTAACTTCAATACGTGCCACAGGTGGTGGAAGGGGTGAAGCACGTGATAGAATGTTTGAGTGAGTCCAACTACTCCGCACAGATCAACAACAAGAGGATAGCCGTGTTGGGGGCATACCTTCACTGTCTACTACTCATCAGCGAGGTAAGTAGCCCACTTTATTGTAACAGTTAAATTACTATGGTAGCGCTTTAGTTACACTGTAGTTACAATAGCAATGCTATAGTAACGCTTCGGTTACTTCATACGATAGTTACGCTATCGTAACTTATAACTATAGTAACACTTCAGTAACCATAATAACCATTGCACACTCTATACAGGACTTGATGTTCTCATGCGGAGAGCTGTTCAGTGAGACGAAGCTCTTTAACGACCACCTTGTAACACTGCTCCGACTCTACGCTAACCACCTCGTTAAGGTTAATAGCCTCATTATCTAATTAACATAAATTACATTTATTGTTTTATTGGAAGTAGTAGGGGTAGAAATATGCCTTCTTTCTCAATCATATTCTTCCGAATCAAATAATACGTTATATCATTTTGGTACCATATGTAACCTGAAGTCACAGTGTTTACACCAGTAACTAACTGTGTCACAGTGTTTACACCAGTAACTAACTGTGTTATCCTCAGGAAGGAAGTACGGATAGTAAACCTCCTGGATGGCTAACTCCACTCATCTTACTGTTTGACGTCCACGAGAAGATGGCTACCATGGTTAAACGCAGGAGCAATCTTCCTAAGGTACTGTCTATCTGGGTTATCTCAAGCTGCAGGACTCAGTGTTACTTGACAGTGTTTAACGGCACCTTTATATGGGGTGTCATCCTTCAAGCTGCAGGAGTCACTGTTACTTGTTTAACGGCACCTTTGCATGGGGTGTCATCCTTCAAGGGTTCCGTTGGGTCCCTGTCAAGATACCAGTTTAGCTTAGCAACACAGTTTAGCTTAGCAACACAGTTTAGCTTAGCAACACACCGTCATTAGCTTAGCAACACACCGTCATTAGCTTAGCAACACACCGTCATTAGCTTAGCAACACACCGTCATTAGCTTAGCAACACACCGTCATTCGGTCATCATTATCAGCTGGAATGAACCCCCCCTAGGTTGAGCACGTTAACATGAATTATTACAGTTGGTGATAACCTGAACCCCCCCTAGGTTGAGCACTCACCCAACATGAATTATTAGTAGTTGGTGATAACCTGAACCCCCCCTAGGTTGAGCACGTTAACATGAATTATTAGTAGTTGGTGATAACCTGAACCCCTCCTAGGTTGAGCACGTGTTTATTAGTAGTTGGTGATAACCTGAACCCCCCCCCTAGGTTGAGCACGTGTTTATTAGTAGTTGGTGATAACCTGAACCCCCCCTAGGTTGAGCACGTCTGGCAGTACTACGAAGAGAGACACAACAGGTGGGTAAACTACCACACGTCCAGTAATGCTACTATTGAGAAGGCTTACCTAGCGGGCGAGCAGGAGGTGTGCTTCAACAGTGGGAGAAGACATTACATGGTCCTCTTTAACATCATGACACAGGTTAGTAATTAGCAATAATTAGCTGTAATTAACTGTTATTAGGGGTAATTAGCTGTAATTTACTGTTATTAGGGGTAATTAGCTGTAATTAGGGCTTAAATCATTATTTCGGTACCAACTACAAAAAAACCTTCTAAGAAATTCGTAAACCATGGGATCAGAGTGCCACAATTGATGAATATAGTGTCGGTACTGTTAATATAGTGTCGGTACTGTTAATATAGTGTCGGTACTGTTAATATAGTGTCGGTACTGTTAATATAGTGTCGGTACTGTTAATATAGTGTCGGTACTGTTAATATAGTGTCGGTACTGTTAATATAGTGTCGGTACTGTTAATATAGTGTCGGTACTGTTAATATAGTGTCGGTACTGTTAATATAGTGTCGGTACTGTTAATATAGTGTCGGTACTGTTACTATAGTGTCGGTACTGTTAATATAGTGTCGGTACTGTTAATATAGTGTCGGTACTGTTAATATAGTGTCGGTACTGTTAATATAGTGTCGGTACTGTTAATATAGTGTCGGTACTGTTAATATAGTGTCGGTACTGTTAATATAGTGTCGGTACTGTTAATATAGTGTCGGTACTGTTAATATAGTGTCGGTACTGTTGATATAGTGTCGGTACTGTTAATATAGTGTCGGTACTGTTAATATAGTGTCGGTACTGTTAATATAGTGTCGGTACTGTTAATATAGTGTCGGTACTGTTAATATAGTGTCGGTACTGTTAATATAGTGTCGGTACTGTTAATATAGTGTCGGTACTGTTAATATAGTGTCGGTACTGTTAATATAGTGTCGGTACTGTTAATATAGTGTCGGTACTGTTAATATAGTGTCGGTACTGTTAATATAGTGTCGGTACTGTTAATATAATGTCGGTACTGTTAATATAATGTCGGTACTGTTAATATAGTGTCGGTACTGTTAATATAGTGTCGGTACTGTTAATATAGTGTCGGTACTGTTAATATAGTGTCGGTACTGTTAATATAGTGTCGGTACTGTTAATATAGTGTCGGTACTGTTAATATAGTGTCGGTACTGTTAATATAGTGTCGGTACTGTTAATATAGTGTCGGTACTGTTAATATAGTGTCGGTACTGTTAATATAGTGTCGGTACTGTTAATATAGTGTCGGTACTGTTACTATAGTGTCGGTACTGTTAATATAGTGTCGGTACTTTTAATATAGTGTCGGTACTGTTAATATAGTGTCGGTACTGTTAATATAGTGTCGGTACTTTTAATATAGTGTCGGTACTGTTACTATAGTGTCGGTACTGTTACTATAGTGTCGGTACTGTTAATATAGTGTCGGTACTGTTAATATAGTGTCGGTACTGTTAATATAGTGTCGGTACTGTTAATATAGTGTCGGTACTGTTAATATAGTGTCGGTACTGTTAATATAGTGTCGGTACTGTTAATATAGTGTCGGTACTGTTAATATAGTGTCGGTACTGTTAATATAGTGTCGGTACTGTTACTATAGTGTCGGTACTGTTAATATAGTGTCGGTACTGTTAATATAGTGTCGGTACTGTTAATATAGTGTCGGTACTGTTAATATAGTGTCGGTACTGTTAATATAGTGTCGGTACTGTTACTATAGTGTCGGTACTGTTAATCTCACTCTTACCCAGATAAACGAAGAGAACGGAGCTCCAAGACCCGTGATGAGAATTCCTAAACCTGGTCTCCTACCATCTCCCTCTGAGCCTTCAACCTCAGGTGACTGGTGAATTGAGAATACACTTCGCTTTCACTCCATCTTTCTCTTTCACTGTTTTTTTTTTCGCCGGGATTTCGCCTTCACTTTAAATTTGCAGTCTGAAAAAAATGTGAATTTACCAAACTATCATTTCAGTTGGTTTCAGTAGATATCGTAATCAATAAATTTATTCCAATCAGTTAAAATGTGGTTTAAGTTCTGCAAATGCAACTGTTAATTCACATCATGACAATTGTACAGGTGATTATTCCCATTAACAATAACACTGCAGGTGCAACAGAGCCCATTAACAATAACACTGCAGGTGCAACAGAGCCCATTAACAATAACACTGCAGGTGCAACAGAGCCCATTAACAATAACACTGCAGGTGCAACAGAGCCCATTAACAATAACACTGCAGGTGCAACAGAGCCCATTAACAATAACACTGCAGGTGCAACAGAGCCCATTAACAATAACACTGCAGGTGCAACAGAGCCCATTAACAATAACACTGCAGGTGCAACAGAGCCCATTAACAATAACACTGCAGGTGCAACAGAGCCCATTAACAATAACACTGCAGGTGCAACAGAGCCCATTAACAATAACACTGCAGGTGCAACAGAGCCCATTAACAATAACACTGCAGGTGCAACAGAGCCCATTAACAATAACACTGCAGGTGCAACAGAGCCCATTAACAATAACACTGCAGGTGCAACAGAGCCCATTAACAATAACACTGCAGGTGCAACAGAGCCCATTAACAATAACACTGCAGGTGCAACAGAGCCCATTAACAATAACACTGCAGGTGCAACAGAGCCCATTAACAATAACACTGCAGGTGCAACAGAGCCCATTAACAATAACACTGCAGGTGCAACAGAGCCCATTAACAATAACACTGCAGGTGCAACAGAGCCCATTAACAATAACACTGCAGGTGCAACAGAGCCCATTAACAATAACACTGCAGGTGCAACAGAGCCCATTAACAATAACACTGCAGGTGCAACAGAGCCCATTAACAATAACACTGCAGGTGCAACAGAGCCCATTAACAATAACACTGCAGGTGCAACAGAGCCCATTAACAATAACACTGCAGGTGCAACAGAGCCCATTAACAATAACACTGCAGGTGCAACAGAGCCCATTAACAATAACACTGCAGGTGCAACAGAGCCCATTAACAATAACACTGCAGGTGCAACAGAGCCCCCACCAGTAGCAGGTGAACAGACCAGCCCGCACAAGGACAATAAGATAACAGGGTCTGAGTCAGGTAAAGACAAGTCCCTCACTGCTTCCAAGAAAGATGATCTGATGGAGACTGAGGAGATGGCGGCTGTAGAGCACTTTGATGAAGTACAGATATCTGATATCGTCGTGTTAGTTTCTTTCTTCTCAGCCGTTCATTTAACAGTTTATTTAGTTAATGTTGTGAAGAAATAGTTTGATTTTTAAATTATTAACGTTTCTATGGTCGGCTGACAATTATTTGTTGCAATCAGTTCTAAACTCTCAAATCAGAAACAATAGTTTAATAAGTTAACGATCTCATTGTCCAGATTGTGCACTAAGATCCTAGGACACATTCAAGGTGCTGATGCTGTACAAGCACTGATGAGACTGCTGCTGAGATTCACCAGGAACCACAGACAAGCGCAACTATTTGCGGAGAATAACGGTCTTCATCACGTCATGCAGCTCAAAGAAGTGGGTTTCACTAGAAATATCTCTTGTGCAGTTGTTAACGATAAACTGAGTGGTGTTTTACAATGTGGGGTTTAAAAGGAGCCTGGGGAAAGTGGACACATGCCCCCCCCCCCCCCCCCCCCCCCCCGGCCCCCCGGACACATGTTATACACCTAAATTAGAATATCATGTTTCCACGTTGTTCGCCCTTTGTTTTAAAATGAGCTTTGTATTTCAGGGTTCATCCTTCACTGGCTTCTCATCCCTGTCAACACTGATATTCCGTCATCTACTGGAGGACGAACGAACGCTCAAGTAATATGAATATGATATGAAATTATAATTGATAAATATGATAATTTATGAATTTGACCCATATATTAGGATTACACAGGATTACATAGGATTAAAATTAATTTAGAGGTCCACTATCGTGAACCGTCATAATTGTTTACAGAATTGGTAAATAAATTATTAAAAACATTCTCAGCTTTGTTTGAAATCAGGGCCAGGATTAGTATTAAACCTTAATTATGAATAATTCGCGAGGTTCTCACCAAATTGATAGTAAAATTGTTTAAGTTTCGTGCATTTGAATTACGTTGACGCATATCTTCGGTGAATCTATTTCGCTCTTCGGAGCAGCGAAGGAAATAAGTGCACACACAATTGACAGTATAGAAACGCCTTTCTTGAAATTGAATATACTGTGGGGTGTTTGGTTGAATATTGAGTTATGATAATGATTAATCATCATGAATATAAATTATTGATAACAATTTTCTCAGTTTTCTGACTTCTGGTAAGAATTATCATGACAATAAACTAAATGACTCTATTTCAACAGATGCACAGTGGAGAACACGGTGCTGGGTTACCTAGCGGGAACCGTGACTGATGAGAGTAATGAGACTAGGACCAGCGGCAACATCAAGGTTAGGAAGTTTATCATTTCTCTTTCTCCTTTTCCTTACATCTTTACATGTTTCTTTCTTTCTCGTCCTCTTAACTTTTTATCTAAACTTTCACTTTCTGCAGGAGATACACAACATGTTGCAACGACTAGCCCCCGTTGCGTCTCGAGCAGAGCGGATATTCTCCGAAACGTGCCAAACTTTCCTTAGGTTTACAGTCCCTCCTAACCTAAAGGAGTCCATCAAAACAATCGCGGATGTGAACGACTTATCATCTATACTGAAGGTACAACTATTGTCCTTGTTATGAGTGAATGTGGCGTTATTTCAGAGGAACCTCGCGTTGTCGTTATATAACGTGCTGTGTGAACACCTTATATAACGTGCTGTGTGAATACCTTTCACACGATTTAAAGATTTTACCTAAACTTAAGAGCGTTTCTTTATTTAAAGGAACAAGGTATGTGTGTAGTCAGTGTAGCTCACGTTGCAATTATCGAGCTCTCTTATCTTTTGTAACTTAGCGATAAGTTCAGTTTGCTGCTACCGTGTAGTTAGCCTCTGCGTGTGTACTTGTACATTATTATACAAGTACACCATGGAGGATGATCTGAATTTGACCCGATCTCTGAAGAAAATCAAGGATTTCAATTATCAAGAAAAGGAGGATGTAGAGGGCTGTGTTGATAGATGGTTCACTACGATGGCAAAAGAACTGAAAATAGACGACGTCGTCATTCGTGGAGATATGGACAAAGAAATATTAATGGCTCCGTCTTTTTATAAAAGGTATATGGCAGACCTCGTACGGCGGCAGAGTAAGCAGATGAGCACTATGATGGAAATCATTGAGTGCCTCAAGACAGAAGCGCTAGCAGACAAGGAAAAGTTGATCAGGCTGCAGGACCAGCTGCTGGTGCAGAAGGACGAACAAATACAGTTGTTTAACAGAGACAGTACAAACAACGGTGGAGTCAGCGATTAAGAGCTACAGTGCAGCTGTACAAAAGGACAGCACAAGTGGTACAATCTGCAATAGTAAAATTCTGAAGAATGTGAATTGTGATGAAGAGTGTGGCTGCAGAGGAGGACAGTAGCAAGAATCTGATAGTGTTTAAGCTGAAAAAAGAGGATGAAAAACAGCTTCCAGCTCTGGTAACCGCAGTATTGGAGGAGATCGGGGAGAAACCTCATTTCGAAGCGAAAAGAGTCGGCTGGAAGAGGCCTGGTACGGCTATCCGACCAGTCAAGATCACCGTCCCAAGCTCAACAGCAGTTCATCAGATTCTGATGAAAACAGGGAGACTGAGACTGGCTGAGATACACAAAGATGTATGGATTTGTCCTGATATATCCAGTGAAGAGCGTGCAGCAAGGAAGAACCTGGTAACTGATCTGAAGAAAAAGAGGGCTGAACAGACTCATCTTGACTGATCAGTATATAATGTAGGAGTATCTTAAGAGTTTTTCGGACGTTATCTGTATTTGAGAGACAATTATATTATATATAATAATATAATTGTCTCTCAAATACAGATAACATATATATACATACATTATTATTTGATTGTTTCACACTTTTCACATTTCATCATTTTATTACTAGGTGGAGGTGATGTTATTGAGACTTTGGGCGGCCAAAAAACTCCTCTTCTGAAAGTTGTCCTCTGTACTTGTTTCACTGACCCACGCTTTTTAGCATTTATACATTTCGGCCCATTTTATATGTTTGTTTGATTTGCTATACATTTGTATACTTGCTATTTTGTAAAAGTTTCAAATCAAATCAAATCATAAATATGGGTAAAAGAATATATTATATTATATTATATACTATATATATATATTCGATTCATAATCTGTGTCTATCACCCCAGGAACCATACACGATCAAAGCGAGCAGTGAGAAACCAGAGGAATACTCCACCGTGTCTCCTCTAGCTGCCATGGCAATAGCATCTCTCCTGGGACGACTAACTGTGCTCTTCCACACCAGCGAGGAGAACCTTCCTAAACTACCTGACAGGACCGATACTGCTGAGTTAAAGGTAAAGTAGTATAATATATACTATAGGTCTAGGTAGTAAGATGTGCTAGTGGTATAATGTTGCGGAGCTCATGCAAAATGTTATTTTATTTATGCATATTTATGCATATTTGGGGTATAACTATGGGTACATTGTTTTATTTTGTTTCGATATGTTTTTACTCGACTGGTTTAATCAGCTATTTCGTGTTTTATAGCTTCTAAATATACGTCATTTTGCTACCCGGCGACAACCGAATGATAGTTATTTCTTGCATTGCTAAGCTTTAAATATAATCTCACTGTTGATGTCTTGTGACTATATTGTGTCTCATTATATGATCCACTTGTGATGTATGTATATCTCCCCCCCCCCCCCTATGTATATCTACCCCCCCCCCTATGTATATCTACCCCCCCCCCTCCCCTATGTATATCTACCCCCCCCTCCCCTATGTATATCTACCCCCCCCCCTATCGAGCACAGATTAATAATATACTCTCCCTCGTGCAATACTAATTATTTTTCTCTATACAACAGTACAACTCAATGTGTTTTAAAATACATATAAAATGAACTGTATTATTTATCGCCTAATCCCCAGGTTTCGTCTCAAGAGTTGCTGTCTCTAGAGGAACCCTCTCCTTTCTCGGACCCTGTCAGGGCCCCCAAGAAGCGCAGGAAAACTGGTTTGTGCATCTTACTATATATAAAGCGAGACGATATATATTTATCCGTGCCATTTTACTGACACCACGGCATCAATTTTAACGCAAATGTCCGCAAAAACCGTAAAAGATATACAACTGAAACTTTTTTGACTGGGTCAAATGCCCCCAAGTGGTGTCAAAAACGCGAATTAAATAGGTAATAATTATTTTAGTCTCTTTGAGTCTTGATACCATTTTAGGGTTATACGGGTTCCTGCTAGTCATTTTAATTGATTTGACATCTGAACCACAAGCTTAATCACACTGTATTATTGTGTTGTCATCTTGTTTAATAAGTCTACTTTCCCCAGGGCACTCTGAACAGAAAGAGAAGGCGAAATTACCTGGAACAAAGAAGTTCCTTGTAACCCAGTCCTCCATTCTGAAGATGTTGTCGGAGGCTGTTAAGAGTTACTCGGGAGTTGCCGAGTTCATTATCGACCAGACAGTTCTTAACAAGGAGGGCGAGGTACATTTCTTTGCTTTTTCTTTGCTTTTTCTTTGCTTTTTCTTTGCTTTTTCTTTGCTTTTTCTTTGCTTTTTCTTTGCTTTTCTTTGCTTTTTCTTTGCTTTTTCTTTGCTTTTCTTTGCTTTTTCTTTGCTTTTTCCTTGCTTTTTCTTTGCTTTTTCTTTGCTTTTTCTTTGCTTTTTCTTTGCTTTTTCATTTTTCTCCTTTCATTATGTCTACAGTAATATTATACCCATAATATAAATATTTTTGAGAAAATCTGAGAACTTACTTATGAATTTATGTACGTTACATGTTTAAATGTAAAGGTTTCAGGGTAACAGTTAGTTCTGTAATCTAAAGACAAAGTCTTTATATAAGCCCTTTGAAGTCAGGGTAACACCCCTTACCTTCAGAGTACGTATGCTCTAACGTTTATAATGGATAACCTGCTGGCTGCACCTGGCAAGGACGCCCCTCCTGGGCGGGAGGACACGCACGAGCACGCCAAGATGATCCTGTCCACTGTGGCAGCAAGTAACTCTAGTGATCCAGCTAAAGAGAAACTAGTAGACCAAATCAGACTGTCATTCATTAGCTCGCTCAGTGAGTCACTCATTTTCCCTTTATTATTTAATAGATTTTAAATTCATTTTAATACTTTCAACACTACCATATCGGGGGGGGGATCATAAGGTCAGAATCGTACGTGACGTTGGGGGTGGGTCATATTTTCTTCCAAAACGCAGTTAGTACTTTTGTACTAAGTGGTGGGTCTGCTGCTCATTTCCCAGAAAAACAGTTAGTACATGGTACTAAAGGGGGTGTCCAACCCCAAAAAACCCATTTTACCTCAAATTTCAATTTTGGGAATGGGTTTTGAGGTTTTTTTGGGTTTTTTAAAATTTTGTTGTAACTTTTTATCTAATTCGACTACATTGAAAACAAAACCCCTACTAAATAGTGGGTATAATTTGCCCATTTCCCAATGTTTAATGAGCTGTTTAAAGCAATTTATGGGTGGGTATCTTATTTTATATACCAAGACACAGTTAGTACCGTGATTTCTCAACAATTAGTACCGCAAAAGCCGGCAAAAGGGGTGGGTGTCTTAATTATTATCCGAAAAAACAGTTAGTACCGCGAAGTCACGTACGGCACTTGGTACCTGATCCCCCCCCCCCCCCCCCCCCCCCCCCCCCCCCCCCCTCCCGACTATATAACAAATAATTTGAGGCTCTAATGATGTAGTTTTACGAAGATTTTAAGCCATACGTTTACGTTGTGTGTTTCCCTTCGTGTCCAAAAGCATTATGTGAAAACATTATCTTTTTAAAACTTGGTCCAGATTTAAACCCTACTTACATCACAGATACGTTGGAGTCACCCGCTAAACACGCTAAAGTGCAAGCAATAGCCTCTCTGATGAGCATAATCCTGGACCCCAGAGGACCTTACAATCTCCCTGTGATGGTAGACTCGTTCAACCTGAACAGCAGCATTAGTTCCCAGTCTCCTCCTTACATCTCTAAACTTCTTATCGCTAAAGGTCATTCATACTTTCATAGTCGACATATCTGAACGTGTAAAGGATCATTTGTAAGGAAGATGGTTTGCTTTTCCCACACCCCCATTGACAATTCTGCAGTTTTATTTTACCATATATCTTTAACAGGTCTGGTGAGCGACCTAGCCCAAGTTCCTCACAAGTTAGACCTCTCCTCGCCTCACATGGCGCTCACTATTAACATGTGCCTAAAACCTCTCGAGGTTCTTACTCGACTCATCTACTCGGTGAGTTAGCTTACTATTAACATGTGCCTAAAACCTCTCGAGGTTCTTACTCGACTAATCTATTCGGTGAGTTAGCTTACTATTAACATGTGCCTAAAACCTCTCGAGGTTCTAACTAGACTAATCTATTCAGTGAGTTAGCTTACTATTAACATGTGCCTTAAACCTCTCGAGGTTCTTACTCGACTCATCTACTCGGTGAGTTAGCTTACTATTAACATGTGCCTTAAACCTCTCGAGGTTCTTACTCGACTAATCTATTCGGTGAGTTAGCTTACTATTAACATGTGCCTAAAACCTCTCGAGGTTCTTACTCGACTCATCTACTCGGTGAGTTAGCTCACTATTAACATGTGCCTAAAACCTCTCGAGGTTCTTACTCGACTCATCTATTCGGTGAGTTAGCTTACTATTAACATGTGCCTAAAACCTCTCGAGGTTCTAACTAGACTAATCTATTCGGTGAGTTAGCTTACTATTAACATGTGCCTAAAACCTCTCGAGGTTCTTACTCGACTCATCTATTCGGTGAGTTAGCTTACTATTAACATGTGCCTAAAACCTCTCGAGGTTCTAACTAGACTAATCTATTCGGTGAGTTAGCTTACTATTAACATGTGCCTAAAACCTCTCGAGGTTCTTACTCGACTTATCTATTCGGTGAGTTAGCTTACTATTAACATGTGCCTAAAACCTCTCGAGGTTCTTACTCGACTCATCTATTCGGTGAGTTAGCTTACTATTAACATGTGCCTAAAACCTCTCGAGGTTCTAACTAGACTAATCTATTCGGTGAGTTAGCTTACTATTAACATGTGCCTAAAACCTCTCGAGGTTCTAACTAGACTAATCTATTCGGTGAGTTAGCTTACTATTAACATGTGCCTAAAACCTCTCGAGGTTCTAACTAGACTAATCTATTCGGTGAGTTAGCTTACTATTAACATGTGCCTAAAACCTCTCGAGGTTCTTACTCGACTCATCTATTCGGTGAGTTAGCTTACTATTAACATGTGCCTAAAACCTCTCGAGGTTCTTACTCGACTCATCTATTCGGTGAGTTAGCTTACTATTAACATGTGCCTAAAACCTCTCGAGGTTCTAACTAGACTAATCTACTCGGTGAGTTAGCTTACTATTAACATGTGCCTAAAACCTCTCGAGGTTCTTACTCGACTAATCTATTCGGTGAGTTAGCTTACTATTAACATGTGCCTAAAACCTCTCGAGGTTCTTACTCGACTCATCTATTCGGTGAGTTAGCTTACTATTAACATGTGCCTAAAACCTCTCGAGGTTCTTACTCGACTAATCTATTCGGTGAGTTAGCTTACTATTAACATGTGCCTAAAACCTCTCGAGGTTCTTACTCGACTCATCTACTCGGTGAGTTAGCTTACTATTAACATGTGCTTAAAACCTCTCGAGGTTCTTACTCGACTAATCTATTCGGTGAGTTAGCTTACTATTAACATGTGCCTAAAACCTCTCGAGGTTCTTACTCGACTCATCTATTCGGTGAGTTAGCTTACTATTAACATGTGCTTAAAACCTCTCGAGGTTCTTACTCGACTTATCTATTCGGTGAGTTAGCTTACTATTAACATGTGCTTAAAACCTCTCGAGGTTCTTACTCGACTAATCTACTCGGTGAGTTAGCTTACTATTAACATGTGCTTAAAACCTCTCGAGGTTCTTACTCGACTAATCTATTCGGTGAGTTAGCTTACTATTAACATGTGCCTAAAACCTCTCGAGGTTCTAAATAGACTAATCTATTCGGTGAGTTAGCTTACTATTAACATGTGCCTAAAACCTCTCGAGGTTCTTACTAGACTCATCTACTCGGTGAGTTAGCTTACTATTAACATGTGCCTAAAACCTCTCGAGGTTCTTACTCGACTCATCTATTCGGTGAGTTAGCTTACTATTAACATGTGCCTAAAACCTCTCGAGGTTCTTACTCGACTCATCTACTCGGTGAGTTAGCTTACTATTAACATGTGCCTAAAACCTCTCGAGGTTCTTACTCGACTAATCTATTCGGTGAGTTAGCTCACTATTAACATGTGCCTAAAACCTCTCGAGGTTCTTACTCGACTAATCTATTCGGTGAGTTAGCTTACTATTAACATGTGCCTAAAACCTCTCGAGGTTCTTACTCGACTCATCTACTCGGTGAGTTAGCTTACTATTAACATGTGCCTAAAACCTCTCGAGGTTCTTACTCGACTCATCTACTCGGTGAGTTAGCTTACTATTAACATGTGCCTAAAACCTCTCGAGGTTCTTACTCGACTCATCTATTCGGTGAGTTAGCATACTATTAACATGTGCCTAAAACCTCTCGAGGTTCTTACTCGACTCATCTACTCGGTGAGTTAGCTTACTATTAACATGTGCCTAAAACCTCTCGAGGTTCTTACTCGACTAATCTATTCGGTGAGTTAGCTTACTATTAACATGTGCCTAAAACCTCTCGAGGTTCTTACTCGACTAATCTATTCGGTGAGTTAGCTTACTATTAACATGTGCCTAAAACCTCTCGAGGTGCTTACTCGACTCATCTATTCGGTGAGTTAGCTTACTATTAACATGTGCCTAAATCTTCTCGAGGTGCTTACTCGACTCATCTATTCGGTGAGTTAGCTTACTATTAACATGTGCCTAAAACCTCTCGAGGTGCTTACTCGACTCATCTATTCGGTGAGTTAGCTCACTATTAACATGTGCCTAAAACCTCTCGAGGTTCTTACTCGACTAATCTATTCGGTGAGTTAGCTTACTATTAACATGTGCCTAAAACCTCTCGAGGTTCTTACTCGACTCATCTACTCGGTGAGTTAGCTTACTATTAACATGTGCCTAAAACCTCTCGAGGTTCTTACTCGACTCATCTACTCGGTGAGTTAGCTTACTATTAACATGTGCCTAAAACCTCTCGAGGTTCTTACTCGACTCATCTATTCGGTGAGTTAGCATACTATTAACATGTGCCTAAAACCTCTCGAGGTTCTTACTCGACTCATCTACTCGGTGAGTTAGCTTACTATTAACATGTGCCTAAAACCTCTCGAGGTTCTTACTCGACTAATCTATTCGGTGAGTTAGCTTACTATTAACATGTGCCTAAAACCTCTCGAGGTTCTTACTCGACTAATCTATTCGGTGAGTTAGCTTACTATTAACATGTGCCTAAAACCTCTCGAGGTGCTTACTCGACTCATCTATTCGGTGAGTTAGCTTACTATTAACATGTGCCTAAATCTTCTCGAGGTGCTTACTCGACTCATCTATTCGGTGAGTTAGCTTACTATTAACATGTGCCTAAAACCTCTCGAGGTGCTTACTCGACTCATCTATTCGGTGAGTTAGCTTACTATTAACATGTGCCTAAAACCTCTCGAGGTTCTTACTCGACTAATCTACTCGGTGAGTTAGCTTACTATTAACATGTGCCTAAAACCTCTCGAGGTTCTTACTCGACTAATCTATTCGGTGAGTTAGCTTACTATTAACATGTGCCTAAAACCTCTCGAGGTTCTTACTCGACTAATCTATTCGGTGAGTTAGCTTACTATTAACATGTGCCTAAAACCTCTCGAGGTGAGTTAGCTTGGAATAAAGAGTGCAATTACCTAACAAATACAAACAACCTAATAAACAAATACAGAAAGTGTGACTTTTTTGAGAAATGATACAACATATTATGAAGGAGGAGTTGCTAAAAACTCTTCATCACATTGTGTTAATATGTGTCGAATTTATGCGGTACACCATGTATACTTATATTTAAGTTATGAAAATTCGACATGATGTATGATTAACTGGGCGGTAACCTTACATAGGTGTATGTTTGTATTTGTATTGTACACTATTCTAATATTCTATATATTCATTAATCATTGATAGATTCAGTAACTTTTTAAAGGGTATTTTGTATATATATATACAAAATACCCTTTAAAAAGTTACTGAATCTATCAATGATTAATGAAGGTTGATGATAATTGATGTCTCTTTTTAGGCGGTGTTGGCGGAATCTTCTCAAACTACTGATAAATCAGAGGATCCGGATAAGCAGGATAGGGACCGAACCAGAGGTTAGGATACTTGCTTTACAACACAATTAAAACTAACTTAGCTAACTTAAAAACAACAAGCATGAATTACGCCAATATCAGGGGGCACTTAAAATGGGTATATCATATTATTAGAAGGTGGTGTATAGGGAGGGGGGGTTATTAAGGTAACTTATTGTTAACAAGTGATCCGTTGGTTTATAAGTTAGCTTATTCTAACTGTACGTTGACTTATGTCACGTTGTTATACCTATTGTAACTGTAAGTTAACGTTGTTATACCTATTGTAACTGTAAGTTAACGTTGTTATACCTATTCTAAGTGTAAGTTAACGTTGTTATACCTATTCTAACTGTAAGTTAACGTTGTTATACCTATTCTAACTGTAAGTTAACGTTGTTATACCTATTCTAACTGTAAGTTAACGTTGTTATACCTATTGTAACTGTAAGTTAACGTTGTTATACCTATTGTAACTGTAAGTTAACGTTGTTATACCTATTGTAACTGTAAGTTAACGTTGTTATACCTATTCTAACTGTAAGTTAACGTTGTTATACCTATTGTAACTGTAAGTTAACGTTGTTATACCTATTTTAACTGCAAGTTAACGTTGTTATACCTATTGTAACTGTAAGTTAACGTTGTTATACCTATTGAAACTGTAAGTTAACGTTGTTATACCTATTGAAACTGTAAGTTAACGTTGTTATACCTATTCTAACTGTAAGTTAACGTTGTTATACCTATTCTAACTGTAAGTTAACGTTGTTATACCTATTCTAACTGCAAGTTAACGTTGTTATACCTATTGTAACTGTAAGTTAACGTTGTTATACCTATTGAAACTGTAAGTTAACGTTGTTATACCTATTGAAACTGTAAGTTAACGTTGTTATACCTATTCTAAGTGTAAGTTAACCAGTGACACATGATTACAGGTGAGGTAGAGGAGACGCTAGGAGACCTTATTCTGAACAATGTAGTAGATCAGCTACTAGACGGCACTTTACCAGCTTCCTCCGCAAACATCTTAGGCAGCTCGTCTCAGGAGGACATGGACACTATCTCTAGACCCATCCCTATCTCAAATGAAGGTGAGCTAATGGACGTCATCTCTAGACCCATCCCTATCTCAAATGAAGGTGAGCTAATGGACGTCATCTCTAGACCCATCCCTATCTCAAATGAAGGTGAGCTAATGGACGTCATCTCTAGACCCATCCCTATCTCAAATGAAGGTGAGCTAATGGACGTCATCTCTAGACCCATCCCTATCTCAAATGAAGGTGAGCTAATGAGATTTGTGAAGGTTTCTCCACCAACTCCGGCTAGTATACAATAATAAAATGTTCAGTTAATTAAATTATACACTAATTTTCTTATTCTGTAACCACGTAACACACTGTAATCTCAGGAGCTAGCTGGTCAGGACGACCAGACCGGCTAGTTGGGGACGAGGATGAGGACGAGGAGGAGAGACGAGAAGCGGCGGAGGAACCTGCTGTTAGAAGCAGTCCTAATCACGCTTCTAGCTCCTTTATTCAGGCTCTTCAGGGACTTGGGGAACCTTTCACTAATCAACAGGTTCAGATTCGGGGAATCAAATCACTAATTCCGTGTTTTGTGAGGTTTTATGACTATGCTAGTAGCAACTTATGACTACGTCGCAGCTGTTTCAGGCAGCCGCGACCTTATTTGTGATTTTACTTGTAGACTGGAATATTGAGAATTATAAACTTCTGAATTACAACTCAGGGTTACTCTGGCGACGGGGATGAGGACGAAGGTGACAGTTTCAGTGATGAAGAGGACGGGGATGACGATGACGATGATGGTGATGATGATGATGATGACGATGATGATGACGAAGAAGAAGATCGTCTGGGTAACAATCCAGAGGATGAAGATGATCACGGTGTCGATGGTAAGATGTCCACATAGTCAGTTGTTGCTTGTTGAATCTTAAATTGTAAGCATTCTTCTCAGAGATAGTGGCTATCATGAGGAGATGGCACTTATTAGGTTGCAGTCAGGTTTCTACTAGTAATATTATATTGAAATATGCTCCCTCAGACACGGTTGATGAAGCGGATGCTAACATGGTAGACGAGGACGAGGGTAGTGATATGGAGGTGGACGATGATGACGACGAGGACGATGTGGATATGGAACTGGACGACACTTCTAACCTCGTCTTCGATACCACTCGTGCTGACAACTTCAACCTTGACTTCCTGGTAAGATACCACTCGTGCTGACAACTTCAACCTTGACTTCCTGGTAAGATACCACTCGTGCTGACAACTTCAACCTTGACTTCCTGGTAAGATATCACTCGTGCTGACAACTTCAACCTTGACTTCCTGGTAAGATACCACTCGTGCTGACAACTTCAACCTTGACTTCCTGGTAAGATACCACTCGTGCTGACAACTTCAACCTTGACTTCCTGGTAAGATACCACTCGTGCTGACAACTTCAACCTTGACTTCCTGGTAAGATATCACTCGTGCTGACAACTTCAACCTTGACTTCCTGGTAAGATACCACTCGTGCTGACAACTTCAACCTTGACTTCCTGGTAAGATAACACTCGTGCTGACAACTTCAACCTTGACTTCCTGGTAAGATACCACTCGTGCTGACAACTTCAACCTTGACTTCCTGGTAAGATACCACTCGTGCTGACAACTTCAACCTTGACTTCCTGGTAAGATACCACTCGTGCTGACAACTTCAACCTTGACTTCCTGGTAAGATACCACTCGTGCTGACAACTTCAACCTTGACTTCCTGGTAAGATACCACTCGTGCTGACAACTTCAACCTTGACTTCCTGGTAAGATACCACTCGTGCTGACAACTTCAACCTTGACTTCCTGGTAAGATACCACTCGTGCTGACAACTTCAACCTTGACTTCCTGGTAAGATACCACTCGTGCTGATAACTTCAACCTTGACTTCCTGGTAAGATACCACTCGTGCTGACAACTTCAAGCTTGACTTCCTGGTAAGATACCACTCGTGCTGACAGCTTCAACCTTGACTTCCTGGTAAGACACCACTCGTGCTGACAACTTCAACCTTGACTTCCTGGTATGCACTGCAACTCCGGACTCCGGGCCGAATCCGGTATTTGTTCCTTACATGGAAAAACTTGTGGAATTAATTGACTTCACCATATAGATTTTTTTTGAGAAGATGATGGCCAATCTCCATGCTTGGAATTAATCACAACGTTTTTAGTTTTGAGTCTTATAGAAATCTTCTTCGTTCTTCACAAAAGATGCACCAATATTTCTAGTAATTCACATTTCACAACACTGCTATCCACTCCAGAATGACGAAGAAGAGCAGTTTGTAGCAGTGATGAACACTTCCCGTTTGAACAGCGCCAGAACACACTTTAGATGGTCCAACCACAGTCCCCTTGCCAGAGGTAACCCGTTAACATTATTATGGTCCAACCACAGTCCCCTTGCCAGAGGTAACCCGTTAACATTATTATGGTCCAACCACAGTCCCCTTGCCAGAGGTAACCCGTTAACATTATTATGGTCCAACCACAGTCCCCTTGCCAGAGGTAACCCGTTAACATTATTATGGTCCAACCACAGTCCCCTTGCCAGAGGTAACCCGTTAAAATTATTATGGTCCAACCACAGTCCCCTTGCCAGAGGTAACCCGTTAACATTATTATGGTCCAACCACAGTCCCCTTGCCAGAGGTAACCCGTTAAAATTATTATGGTCCAACCACAGTCCCCTTGCCAGAGGTAACCCGTTAACATTATTATGGTCCAACCACAGTCCCCTTGCCAGAGGTAACCCGTTAACATTATTATGGCCCCAATAATAAACGTTCATTCGTTTGTGATGATGTATTTTTTAAGTATGTAGATTGTAAATGATAAAGCTACTGCACATAACTCTGTTAGTGCGCTTCTCTACCAGCCCCCTGGCTACTGTTCTCTAGTTAGAGTCTAAGTAGAACTACCCCCGAAAATAACCCTTCCTCGGCAGCTAGAGCCCGAGCTAACGGCTCCACCAGCTCAGGACTCCCTACTATATATATATAATAACCCTTCCTCTGCAGCTAGAGCCCGAGCTAACGGCTCCACCAGCTCAGGACTCCCCACTTCTCATCCCCTGTTAATGAGGAACAGTGACATCAGCTCCACTACCGACACCACCACCACTGCTGCTGCTGGTTTGTAGTCTTTTGTACAAATCAGAATAGCATAGAATCTTATAAGCTACAGGATTCAAGTGATAATTTTTAAGTATTTAAGCATTTAAATGTCAAGAGTCTATTTCACTTAACATCATTATATTATAACTATTAAGCTAGTAGTCAATAACTCAGTGTCTCAACCTAGGGACGAGCGGGACCGTTACCTCGACAGCTAGAATACCGAGACTCTTGGACTCTGACACGGGGGCACCGTTCCTCCACCGTCTCCTCAATTCAGGAGCAGATGCTGTGCTCCTGGGCTCCTCAAGGAGCAGGAACAGCAGGAACAGCAGGGTGCACGTGTTCGATCAGGTCACTAGAGACGAGATCCTCAACTCCGACCTCAATGACTTCAACCCTGTCGGGGGAAATTGTGAGTTTGTAAAATTGTAGGTCTATGTAATTTATCCATGATTTGAACCTTATAATATCTTTTTAACAATGAACAGACTTCTTAGTGGTTGATAGGACGTTTGGACTGGAGAATTCAGTACTGAGTGTGTATCGTCTTATTTTCCATCTCGTCTTAGTTTTCTCTTCCCATTTAGCAGAGACGGTGTTGACATTACCCAGTGCACTCTCTCGATGGAGAGAAGAAGCTCAGGTCCTGGACGGATCATCTCTCCAAGATCTGGTTCAGTTGGTCAAGCCTCCCGTCATATCTACTCTCCAGAGGTACATTTCTTATTATTTTTCACCCCCTTCCGTCACATCTCTCCCCACACCACATTCTTGTTAGTTGCCCCTAACAATTATAAAACCTCAAATTCTACAGGCACATGGATGCTGAGGTTTCGGTGATCAAGGAGGCTCGTCTGAAGGAACTGAATGAGGAGCTTGCTAAGGAGGCGGTGGCGGCTAAGAAAAGGGAGGAAGAAGCAGAGAGGACTGCTAAGGAAGCCAAGGAAAAGGTTCCTTTTAAACGAATATTAAGTTTTAAATTTCTTTGCACGAGTTAACTGTTAAGTGAGGTGACTTTCCAAGACTTTTCATGAAACGATCGCTTACTTTTTAAACCTCAAGTCGCCAAAATTTAGTGGACCGACTGAAGTTTGTGTTTGGATTTAACTTCTCATGATTCCATTTCCAGGTGACAGCAGGAGAGGAAGAAGCAGGAGAAGAAGACTCAACCACACCCTCCGAAACATCTCCTTCAGACGACCTCGGTCCGCTCCTCTCATCTTCTCTCAACATGGCCAGCAACACCGGTAGTGAGGCTAGGTAAGTTTTACATGTTCTCTTCTGTCTACTGAATATTATCGCTCAATTTGGTCTTTTCCTTTTCCTTTGATTACTAATTGTTCCATGTCAACATTTAACAAGCTATGATATGCAATAGTATTCTAAGGGTACGGTAATCGTGTTAAAAATGTTATCATATTCATACTAATGTATGTTTAATCCTGTTTACTAATGTATTTGTTTCTAGTAGCGGAGGGGACGATGTGACTCCAGGGAACGAGCCCTCTACACGTGCTATGACCACCTCCAGTCTGAACCCAGCTCCTGGCGAGGGGTCTGCAAACCAGCAGCAAGTTCAGGTAACAATACAAGAGTCCTTTAACAAGAGTTCAGTGTCTGAGTATGTGCACAGTGTCTGAGTATGTGCACCATGTGGCGCGAGTAGACGTGCATACCGGCTAGAAAGTTGAAAATTGAAAAAGAAGAATGGATATATTACACTATTACACTGTTTTTATTTTTATATTAAATAATAAACAATAATTTAATTTTATAATTATGATAATAATAACCGACTGCCAAGGTACCTAGGCAGTCGAGACCTCTTATTGAGACCCGATATAATAATAATTGTAATTTAATACGACTTTCTGCAATTTAGTATCATAACCTTATTTGAACCAGGACCCAGACGACACTATGCCAGACATGTTCCCAGAGGACAGCGACAGTTCCCTAACCTCCGTCGGGTCTTCTGTAGGCTGGACTCCTCCTCAGAGCACCACAGGTTAGTAGCGGGGCTGCAGGTTAGTAGTTGAAAACTTAGTTTCCGCCTTTTTACAACCCAAACACGCTACGTGCATGTGCGACGAGCTTAAAGTTAATATCTTATTTTGTGACCAGGTCCAGAGCAAGGCAGCACAGCTCCAGACCGACCCTCTCCCAGCTACTCGCCCATGTCGGAGACTAACCCACTTGTGCCCACTGCCGGCCTCTCAAACACTGCTGACACCATGTCAGCTAGTGATGACGTCATGAGCACTGGTGATGTGACGTCATCATCCAGCGTGGTCACTACTTCTGCAGGTACGGGTTTATTAAGCACTTTTCAGATTATTCAGTATACTTAGTCATTATAATAATGTTTGGGCGGGGTTTCCAACCTCCTTTGCTAGTTTTTAATCTATAGCCCTATAGCGCGGATTACTTACTCAAACTGCAACTCAAACTATCAGTTGTACAGTTGTCCCGAGTAAAGGTGACTTGGTTATAACTTTATTCGAAAGTATTTAAACTTTAAAACTTTAAACTGTTTTGGTTTCATGGCTGTCCATATCTGGTTGTATAATGTATTATGTATTATAGTAGTAGTGGGGGGGGGGACATGTCACCCCCCACTACTACTATACATAATACATTATACATTATACAGTAGTAATACACTAAGTAGTAAAAACAGTAGTATAATGCCATTAAAAGAGCTTGTCTCGACACCCACACATTTATGATAAATAGCATTTGCATTTGATTGGTCTAAATATCGTGAGTTTTATGTTTCGTTTAAAGGTTTAAGAGGTATAACCGTGTGACTACTGGGTACCTGCTATATGATATATAACTTTCCTGCATTAGATTTTATCTAATTGATAAAGGATAGTGAAATGTCGGTAATGGAAGCAGGCATATAAAGTGAAATAGTGAAATTAAGTGAAATATAAGGTACCTTCAAGAGATTATGAAACAATATTAGAAAGACCACAAAACAAGGTCGTGCAATAAAATTACGCAAAAGTGCTGATCTTTGCATTTGACAGACAATAATTTCGGCAAGGAGCAATATTTTTCCATGGGACCAAAAGCATCTGATAGATATCACTCCCCTCTATCAGAAACAACTATTAAGTCAATTTCGAGAGAATTTTGATGAAGACCCCCCTGCCCTCTTAATAGATACTTCTTAAAGGTTTCTAGTTAAGATGTGAGGTGATGCCATTCTGATGCTGATAACTGCAACACCCTCAGTAACCCCAGTAACACCCTCAGTAACCCCAGTAACACCCTCAGTAACCCCAGTAACACCCTCAGTAACCACAGTAACACCCTCAGTAACCACAGTAACACCCTCAGTAACCACAGTGTCCTCGGCAATAACGGAGGTGACCTCTTTAGCCAGTGAGGTAGCAGCCAGCATCAGTGCTCTACGTGGTACTGTTCCTGCTCCTGAACCAACGAACGAGACCTCTGCTCAAACTGACACTACCCCTGTCAACGCTATCTATATTGATGGTTAGTTTACTCGGGGGGAGGGCAAGTTTGAGATTTTGTCTACATCTTCAATGAGATAACTGCCGGGAAATTATTAATTAATTAATTAACTTGAGAATTAATTAAGTTTAACTTGGGAACCTCTGCACGATAGAGTACAGCAAGGCCGACCAAGACAAAGCTGCTTGTCTATGTTGCTGAAGGAAGTTGAGACAAACTCTAAAGAGGAACTGCGAACCCTGATGCGGGACAGGGATATATGGAGGGGGTTATCTGGCGTAGATATGACTAAGTTCCGACATAGTAGTAGTGAGATACTGTATTGCAGAATTTTTCTAGTCCTCAAGTCTCTAAATATCTCCATCTGTCAGGAATTCCAGTACCAGAGGGAATAGACCCCTCCTTCCTGGAGGCTCTGCCCGATAGTATCAGGATGGAAGTGCTACTGGAGCAGAGTGCTGCACTGGAGCGACAACGCCGCGTAGCTGCTCAGCAGCGTGCAACCACGACGGAACCTCAGCAATCAGGGACTGGTGAGCTAGAGTTAACATGTTGTTGAAACTTTAGCTCTGACCTTTTAGAAGGACGTGCACTAATTATTGTATTTCAAACTCCAATGTAGATTATAGATCCAATTATGACTATTCAGAGAGGCTAGGTTCCACTATATTCATTATTTTAACTAGCAGGAACCCGTATAACACTAAAATGGTGTCAAGACTCAAGAGACTAAACTAATTATTACCTATTTAATTCGCGTTTTTGACCGTCGTCTTGGGGGTCCGAATTTTGGGCTCTAAAACTCCAATTCCTTGGCCAATTTTTATTTGTTCATACTGATTTGGAGGCCATTAAAGCATTTGACCCAGTCAAAATTGATGACGTGATGTCAGTAAAATGGTACGGATCCATCCATATATATCGTCTCGCTTTACACATAGTAAGATTTATATTATAGTAAGATTGTTTGTTAATAATGATTGTATTACCTAGTGGAACGAACAGACTCGGCGTACAACCCGAGTGATGTACTCATGTCACTCCCCTCCTCATTGAGAAGAAGTGTTCTGGCTGACATGGAGGAGAGTCAACTCAACTCCCTGAGCGAGGTAATGTAGTGTAGTGTAGTGTAGTGTAGTGTAGTGAAGTGTAGTGTAGTGAAGTGTAGTGTAGTGTAGTGTAGTGTAGTGAAGTGTAGTGTAGTGTAGTGTAGTGTAGTGTAGTGAAGTGTAGTGTAGTGAAGTGAAGTGTAGTGTAGTGTAGTGAAGTGTAGTGTAGTGTAGTGTAGTGAAGTGTAGTGTAATGTAGTGTAGTGTTGTGTAGTTTAGTGTAGTGTAGTGTAATGTAGTGTAGTGTAGTGCAGTACAGTGAGGTGTAGTGTAGTGTAGTGTAGTGCAGTGCAGTGTAGTGTAGTGTAGTGTAGTGTAATGTAGTGTAGTGTAGTGTAGTGTAATGTAGTGTAGTGTAGTGTAGTGTAGGGTAGTGTAGTGTAGTGTAGTGTAGTGTAGTGTAGTGTAGTGTAATTTAGTGTAGTGTAGTGTAGTGTAGTGTAGTGTAGTGTAGTGAAGTGTAATGTGGTGTAGTGTAGTGAAGTGTAATGTGGTGTAGTGTAGTGTAGTGTAGTGTAGTGTAGTGTAGTGTAGTGTAGTGTAGTGTAATGTAGTGTAGTGTAGTGTAGTGTAGTGTAATTTAGTGTAGTGTAGTGTAGTGTAGTGTAGTGTAGTGTAGTGTAGTGTAGTGAAGTGTAATGTGGTGTAGTGTAGTGTAGTGAAGTGTAATGTGGTGTAGTGTAGTGTAGTGTAGTGTAGTGTAGTGTAGTGTAGTGTAGTGTAATTTAGTGTAGTGTAGTGTAGTGTAGTGTAGTGTAATGTAGTGTAATGTAGTGTAGTGAAGTGTGGTGTAATGTAGTGTAGTGTAGTGTAGTGTAGTGTAGTGTAGTGTAGTGTAATTTAGTGTAGTGTAGTGTAGTGTAGTGTAGTGTAGTGTAGTGTAGTGAAGTGTAATGTGGTGTAGTGTAGTGTAGTGTAGTGTAGTGTAGTGTAGTGTAGTGTAATTTAGTGTAGTGTAGTGTAGTGTAGTGTAGTGTAGTGAAGTGTAATGTGGTGTAGTGTAGTGTAGTAAAGTGTAATGTGGTGTAGTGTAGTGTAGTGTAGTGTAGTGTAGTGAAGTGTAGTGAAGTGTAGTGTAGTGTAGTGTAGTGTAGTGTAGTGTAATGTAATGTAGTGTAATGTAGTGTAGTGAAGTGTGGTGTAATGTAGTGTAGTGTAGTGTAGTGTAGTGTAGTGTAGTGTAGTGTAATGTAGTGTGGTGTAATGTAGTGTAGGGTAGTGTAATGTAGTGTAGTGTAGTGTAGTGTAGTGTAATTTAGTGTAGTGTAGTGTAGTGTAGTGTAGTGAAGTGTAATGTGGTGTAGTGTAGTGTAGTGTAGTGTAGTGTAGTGTAGTGTAATTTAGTGTAGTGTAGTGTAGTGTAGTGTAGTGAAGTGTAGTGTAGTGTAGTGTAGTGTAGTGTAGTGTAGTGTAGTGTTCTGGCTGACATGGAGGAGAGTCAACTCAACTCCTTGAGCGAGGTTATGTTCCCCCCCCCCCCCCCCCCCCCCCCTAATGTTTCTATTTAAATGCACATCAATATTATTAATAATAAATATCAAATCAAATATTGTTTGCACCTAGAAAAAAAAGCTATTATTGGAGTTAAGAAAACATCAACGAATTGCAGAACTATCTGTCTCGTATATTTATGTTTTAGTATGAAAGCCCTCTTACTTGTGTGTCGCATCTTTAGTGTTTAGATTAAACTGTAATTACTGAACCTTTCGCTCCCAGGACTTAGTACAAGATTACGAGAGGATCAGATCGGAGCAAAGAGCTCGAACAGTCTACACGACCATTCCCTCCAGGTACTCCTCATTTAGTGTGAGAGGTCCCTACCATTTCATCATGTAGTCTTGTAGTCACGACTTTCCCATTCTCAACCTTTTCATACATGATATTATTTGTTCTATTCGCACAATTCTGATGAACATAACATTTCCCCCCTTTTTATTTTAACGAATCTAATCCGAAAACCACAAGTGGATTTTGTCTGATTTTGTTAATCTTGCCCTTTGACTAAGATTTTTTTCTGCCATGTCCCATATGACTTGTTTCCTCTACCCCACCCCTTTTGTGTTCGACTTTTCCCTCTACTTCTCTTTCAATAGCTCGTCAAACCCCGCCAGTCGCTTTCGGTTTTAAAATCTACATCTCTAATTTTGGTAGCATCTATCGTTATTTCACACCATTAGATTTATTATTGATCTCATAATTGATCTCATAATTGATCTCATAATTGATCAAGTTTACTGGTTCCTCACGTCATGCTCTCTTTTTGCTCACATAACGTTCTCTTTTTGTTCACATAACGTTCTCTTTTTGCTCACATAATGTTCTCTTTTTGCTCACATAATGTTCTCTTTTTGCTCACATAACGTTCTCCTTTTGCTCACATAACGTTCTCTTTTTGCTCACATAACGTTCCCTTTTTGCTCACACCACGTTCCCAATTTTATTTATTCGCATCACGATCCTTATTCGCTCAAATCACGTTCTCTATTTAATCTTATCACGCTCTCTTTTCGTTCACATCAGCGTTTGCTTGCTCTGCTACCTGTGGGGAGGAAATATAACCGGCTCTTAAAATTTCCGTTAAGAAAGAGCAACAACATACTAGTCTTCCCTCAAATTGTGTATCTTTCTCAATGTCCGCCTAATTAACTAAGCACGTTCAGACCACGTTGCCATCGTAACCGTGCACGTGCATGGTGGTGGCGCACGTGCACGTGCAAGGATTGCGCTGGCAATACATCAGTTTTCTCCCCACAGTGCCGGAGGAACAAGTAGGGCTGGTGGGTCTGCCAGATCACTCCTCTCCCGTCTTAATAACCTTGTAAACTTCAGGTAACCCCCAGTAACGCTTTATACTTGTCTTCCACCTCGAAATGTTCTCCTGTCATTTGATCAGTGGATGGCCATTCTTAGAAAGTATTCCAAGAAGATGAAAATTACAAGAATTAATTAGCACTGTTGCTCGGAGGATTATTGAGGAGATAAAGTAGTAGTGGAGATCAAATGAAAGGCGAACATTTCCACAAAAAAACCTGTCCATGCTGTTAAATCATGTTTTTGTCTCGTTATTATAGCTCATGTTAATGTAGTCTTCAGTAGATCAGTCCTAAACTGTTCTATGTTTTCATTCAATGTCCTGTAGTATTATGTTAGTATGCATATTCAGCTCTAAATGGCTAAATAAAGGAAACCCACCCCTCCCCACCCCACAAACTCCCAAAAGTAGCCCTGAAATGTTACTGCGTAGTTACAGGACGCTAAACATAGGCGGAGAAGGCCGGAGTGGGACGAGCAATCGAGCCTCTATTGGTCCTATCTTCGCTTCAACTATCCCTCCCTTCCCTCCCGTCAGTGGACTGTCCACCACCGGCAACACTTACAAACACGAGGTACGTATTTCATAAACACTTACAAACACGAGGTATGTATTTCATAAACACTTATAAACACGAGGTACGTATTTCATAAACACTTACAAACACGAGGTACGTATTTCATAAACACTTATAAACACTTACAAACACGAGGTATGTATTTCATAAATACTTATAAACACGAGGTACGTATTTTATAAACACTTACAAACACGAGGTATGTATTTTATAAACACTTACAAACACGAGGTATGTATTTTATAAACACTTACAAACACGAGGTATGTATTTCATAAACACTTATAAACACGAGGTACGTATTTTATAAACACTTATAAACACGAGGTATGTATTTCATAAACACTTATAAACACGAGGTATGTATTTCATAAACACTTATAAACACGAGGTACGTATTTCATAAACACTTACAAACACAAGGTACGTATTTCATAAACACTTACAAACACGATGTAAGTTCTTGATTTCAATCTTCAAAAAACTAACAAATTGTGTCACGTTATAATGATATCACCCTCTCCCAGATAAAACGAAGTGCGCAGTTGCAAGAAGAGGTGAGGAAGGTGATAAAGAAGAAGCCTATAGAGCACGAGGCTATCACCTGCCTACTCGTCCTCCTCTTTATCGATGATTCGCTCAGGTATCATTGTCAGGGGGAGCTTAACCGCATTTAACACGAGAAGCAGCAGTAGTAAAATGCGGCTGGAGTCACTTCAGACTCTTCTCTTATATCCATGCTATTTTGTGATAATAATTAATACCCGTGCCAATAAAATGACAACTTGTTCACCTACCCTTGAACTCATTATCCTCCTTCTCCCCGGTTCTAAATTTGTTTCCTCCTCTCCTAGGTTACAAACGTCTCGATTACACCGAGTTTTAAGGAACCTGTGTTGTAACACTGCTTCCAGAACCTGGGTCCTCATATCCCTTATATCCATCATACAGAAATGCAGCGCTGCTAAGAAGGTTCGACCTCTAATTAATTAATTTAATTCCTTGTGTAATCTTATCTTTACCTTGTCAAGCTAATTCCTTGTGTAATCTTATCTTTACCATGTCAAGCTTTTTTATGCAACTTATTTTTTAAAACGGCTTGTTTCAATCCCCTAATTTTTTTTAAATCTCTGGTGACAACCCCTCACTCCCCCTACAGACTATTAAACCTCTCACTCCCCCTACAGACTATTAAACCTCTCACTCACCCTACAGACTATTAAACCCCTCACTTCCCCTACAGACTATTAAACCCCTCACTCCCCCTTCAGACTAATAAACCCCTCACTCCCCCTTCAGACTATTAAACCTCTCACTCCCCCTACATACTATTAAACCCCTCACTCCCCCTACAGACTATTAAACCCCTCAATCCCCCTACAGACTATTAAACCTCTCACTCCCCCTACAGACTAGTAAACCCCTCACTCCCCCTACAGACTATTAAACCCCTCACTCCCCCTACAGACTAGTAAACCCCTCACTCCCCCTTCAGACTATTAAACCTCTCACTCCCCCTACAGACTATGAAACCCCTCACTTCCCCTACAGACTATTAAACCCCTCACTCCCCCTTCAGACTATTAAACCCCTCACTCCCCCTACAGACTATGAAACCCCTCACTTCCCCTACAGACTATTAAACCCCTCACTCCCCCTTCAGACTATTAAACCCCTCACTCCCCCTACAGACTATTAAACCCCTCACTCCCCCTTCAGACTATTAAACCCCTCACTCCCCCTACAGACTAGTAAACCCCTCACTCCCCCTTCAGACTATTAAACCCCTCACTCCCCCTTCAGACTAATAAAGCGTCCTCAAAGTCACCTGCCTCCCTCCTCTCCAGTATAAACTGTCAGAACAGCTGGCTCACTCTCTCAATGAACACTAGTTTGGGGTGTAAGAACAACGTGTTCGATATTAACGCCTCCAGCAAGGGTCAAATCAACTCACAGGTGGGAATTTATAACTTTTTAAACAGAAATAATACTGACAAATTAACATTTTTAACAAAGGCAAAAATGTTTATAACTTTGAGTTATGAAAACATTGGATGGTAATTGTTTTAATGCACTTATTAACTCTCTGACTAGAGAATTGTTTTTGATGCCCTAAAGGGTTTCTGATTAGTCTTTAAAACAGCACAATATTATATTTATCTTTTTTTCTGTTCAATAACGGCTTATAAAATAAGTACATTTATTTCACATTTATAAAGCTGACTCGTGGTTTCCACGAGATAGAGTGTAACGTTGCAGTTATACTACCGAGTTGCTTATTATTTATTGTGTTTATTATAAATTACACAATAACTCTCACTACTCCGAAGTGTGCAAATGTAACTGACGAATCTTTTTATTAAATTTCAAATTGTAAGTATTGTGTGTAACTATTGATAGCGGCATCTTCACTCTTCAGCAACATTAAATTTACAATTCTAAGCAAAATTTTCATGTGGGTTATTTATCATAATCCTGATATAGAATATTATATACTCATACATATTCAAACAAAGGATAAAGCCGTTGAATTAAATAACAAAATAAAATTTAAGATTGAATATCTTAATCTTATTAAATCTTGGTCAAAACAGAATTTATCAATAAATTAACGTTTTTCCTTGACATTCTCCACCCTTGGTACTGCTAGAAAACCAATCGGTTTTAATTATAATTCTATTGTTTTCGTTCTACATTATTTAATTAACTGCAGAACTCTCAAATCCCTGTTTAAAGTCCCTTCTACTAATGAACAGACGAACTTATTTGTGTAGTATTATAGTACATTGCAATGGTTACAGTACACTACTATGTAGAATATGTACTGAAGGGGTATCTTAAGAAGTTCTATTAGCAGGGCCCCTCCTCATTTAGCCCTCAATCAAGTTTTCTATCATTCGGCTCAGTCGAGACACAGATGTGTAATTTCGCATAGATCCAACGGATCCTTAACTACCCTCTACTCCATAGACTAGGTGACACTTGAAACGTTCTATTGTCTAGTTTTTCTCATCGATTTGTTTGTTATTTCTCGATTCTTGAGACAATTGTAGTAGTTGTACAGCAATCGCTCATTCTGTTACAGTACGTCATTGTCTACTTTACTGCTCTGAATTAAATTCTTTGAATAGTGTATTGTTTGTGCCCGCCAGATTTCAAAAAGGTCCTCTTGAAATTCTAGGAAGGGTACAAGCAGTTTCAAAAGATTGTCGTTTTTTGAACTGCGATTGAAAATCGCGTCTGCAATAGAATTACCCATATTATGCGCTGACTTTTAAGGATCCATATCTTTGGCCAGGATCAATAATTTTTATGAGACTGAAAGCTTCTGGTAGAGCTCACATACATAAAATCAATCTTCAATTATCAAGACCGCACCCTAATCTGCATTACACAGCATTAATAGTGAGAACTGCCGATATCAATACTATTATCTAAATAAATGAAAACAGTCCAAATAGTGTCTCTAAATGCATCATCCATTCTCATTTGGCTGTTTTGATTGTCTTATTGTTGATCTCGTGATGGTTCTTATGATTACTCCTCATTCCTTTAACGGGTTGACCTCCTTCACCCCCCCCCCCCCCCCCCACAACCGTCCAACCGGGCATGTCCTGTAAAACAGTAGAATTAACACAGAATTAACACTGATCCAGTTAGAGCACTATCTAACTGCCGTTACTTGGACTGGCCTAGTGCTGTTACTCAGTTAGCTCTGGTTTATAATTTACATGTAGACAGTCTTGTTACTACAGAGTTGCACTATTAATATGGTGGTGTTTGCTATAATGTTTCACTTAATAAGACGATCATGAGTCATGACGGGAGTTCCTGATGCGTTATATTTGCACTGTGCGTTATATTTGCACTGTGAGTCATGACGGGAGTTCCTGATGCGTTATATTTGCACTATATTTGCGTTATATTTGCACTGTGAGTCATGACGGGAGTTCCTGATGCGTTATATTTGCACTATATTTGCGTTATATTTGCACTGTGAGTCATGACGGGAGTTCCTGATGCGTTATATTTGCACTGTGAAGCTAAACATATATTTCTCGTTAAAATTATACCTATTCTTATTACCCTGCACAACTTTTATTTCGTACTTTACTTTACCCTTCAAATCTAAAATCTGATAATTCACTTTCCTCTAAACTTCTGGCCTGATTCAGTTTTTTATAGTTTTATAGCGGTTAAGGTTTGTCACTGTACGTTATTATAGCTTTATAGGGGGGGAGGCTGTGCAAGGTGGACGAATAGTTGTGCAATATCAGAATTGTGATCTAGATACTAAAACCGCATTAAAGGTGGAGAGCTCACTTAATTTTGCTAAGGTATCACAAATCTCAACATTGCGTCAACTCACATCTAATCCTTGTTCGCTCTGTAATATTATTACTAATATTACCAATAGTAATGTCAAGTAAAACAGGTAACTAGTGATGTGAGGATGTTATATATTAAACTAGTCATACGTCATCATGTGAGTAAGTAAGTAGTTAAAAGTTGTCATCCTCTTCTCTCCAGGTTGAGATTTTAATCTCTCTCTTGATTTGAATCCAAGGCCTGGGCCGTGAGAGAATCAACAGGAGTGTGTTTGTCGTGCAACCAGTGGTAGTACTAGCGATAACTTTTTTTCTTTGACTTTTAAAGATAACGTGCGGAATTTTCTCCAAATTTATAGTTTGAATAGTAGAAAACGTGGAATGTAGTACATTAGTACCTGAATGCTATTATTTAAGTTTAGAGTGTTAACAACCAGTAAGGATTTGTCTGACTTGTTGAATATTATAATATGTACCCCGCAAAGCATAATAGTACATACACGCTTGAAGGCAAATTGTCTAAACCTTACGTCAAGCAGTTAAACCCTCAATTGTATGTTGTATTTACAGGGGGTGCCACGTCCGTCTATCTGTCCGCTTGTCTCATAGAATCCAAAAAGGACTGGACAGGACAGGACAGGGCATAGGTCCAAAAGTGGACAAAAAATTTGTTAAAGTTTGCTAATGAGGCAGGGTGGTACTTTTTAAAAAAGTCACATTTTATGTGGTTCACCCTATAGATCCTGTTAAAGGTATTTTGAAGTACGAAGTGAGATGTCAAGCAATGTTGTACTACTAAGTCAAAATCTTTTCACTTTTTTTTTTCTGGAAACTACTTATGTTCACGATTCATGCTACCCTGATCATTATTAGCCGAAAATATTTTTATGATTTTCGGAGTCCGGACCTACCCTTTGGTATACGATTTTGGACTCGAAGGTTCCCTCTTGTAATGCGATCCCGGGAGGCAGGCCTCCCTTTTGCAGTGCGAGCTCGGAAGCGGGAGCCCTGCCTTCAGAGGTGAGTGGTACGTATCAAGAATGACTTGGACCAAAAATTTTCTAAGCCAAATCTTTTCAAAGTTTTTCTGGAAACGAATTTTGTTCATGTTTCATGCTGTCATGATCATTATGAGCTGAAAATATTGTGTCCAAATCTTGTGCGAAAAATCCTTATAATGTTTGTCCGTTAATGTCCGCCAATGTTCGTCAATGTCCGCTGATGTCCCAAAAACACGTCCGTTTGTCTCATAGAATCCAAAAAGGACAGGACATAGGCGGAAAATATTTACAGTGGTATTTTCTTCGAAGATTTTCCGCTCCAGTGTATTTTCTTTAAGAGGTCTCCTATCAGACGTAGCCCATAGACAAGTCTGTCTGTTTGTTTGTTTGTGCCTAACAACTTGAAAGCCACTGACCATTAAATATTACAGTTTTTCAGTCAATATAACGCATGCTACTAGTGATCTGGTGATAGCTGACTGATTATTGGTACTGATTGTTAACAACTGAGAATGATAGCAGTCAGCTGTAAATATCAAGTTACATATTCTAATGTGTCCCAAGCCTCGCCGACTTTCTTCTGTGCCGGTATCATGTCCCTGGCCCTATAATAATCCTTTTACTACACCTCGCATTTATTGATTACTATCTCCCAGCATTCGTCACTTTAAGGAACGTTACCTGCCATTGTTATTGATGAGGACCCGGTGCCAAGCGAGCAAGTAGTCACATACTCCGCCGCTTAAAGTTCTAGTTTTGTTTTGGTTGAACACGCTGACCGATAGATGGCTCAGTGCACGTGCGACCTGTAGCTGTGCACGTGCAACCATCTAACCTCGTTATCGGAACTCCCGGAACTTGTTAAAGACAGGACCTAAAAATACCTCATAATAATAACAATGTTAAGTATTAACTCTACATTTCAGGTATGATTATAACAGATATCTTATCCCATACCTGGTGCCACCTATCCTTCCTCCTCGGTCTGCTCGGCAACAGCTACGTGGTATACTCCACTGTGTGTCACAGAGCCATTAAACTGGACAAACTCTCCATCTGTATAATCCAGATGTTAGCGGTATCGGACCTCACCAACACTGTGCTCGTGTTAGTCCCTGTTATCATATCTCTCTACGCGCGCAGCACCTGGATACTGGGCCACACTTTCTGTGAGCTCTCCTTTGTTTATAAGTATCTGGGATATATTGCTAATGTGATTCTTATTAATGCTCTGGCCTTTAACAAGATGATGAGATGTTTGTTCCCATTGAGGAACATGAATTGTTCCAGAACTCAGAGATGGTCAGTTGCCATGATAACCGTCGTCGGCACCTTGATGACCCCCATTTATCATTCATACAAGACAAGCTTAAAAGACCTGTTCTCTGTTCAGTTTTCAAGGTCCCAGTGCATGTGTTGGATGGTGCAGATAGCAGAACCCCCTGGATGGCACTATATCCTAGATTACGGCTTCTCGGGCCTGCTCAACGCACTGCCATGTCTCACCCTCATAGGGATAAACACATTCCTCGTCTCATACGCTGTTAAGAAGTCCACCCGGCCAGTCAACAAGATGAACATAGTGATAGTTGTGCTGATCACCGCTTCATTCCTGGTGTCCAGCCTCCCTTACTTTATCTACTACATGGCGTCTGGTGACGTGTGGCAGGATGATGACGTCATTCTGAGATTCGTTACTTTTATCATGTTCACCATGTTCTGGTCCAACCCTGTCATCTACCTGGCTACCAACAAGTACTTCCGCAAGTTCACTGTCGGGTCGGTGAGGAGAGATGCGAGGACTTCTATTGGTCAGAACATGAGCTTTAGGAATTCTACGAGGAGAGACCCTCGTGCTTCTATTGGTCGTACTGAGCTTTAGGAATTCTACGAGGAGAGACCCTCGTGCTTCTATTGGTCAGAACATGAGCTTTAGGAATTCTACGAGGAGAGACCCTCGTGCTCCGTTGACTTTTCAGAATTCCACAGCATTTTAGTTATCAAGAGTCCAGTGTAGACAGCCTGTTTTCCAACTTTTCCGCTTTAAATATATCACATATTTCTATTTTATTTAAAATTATTGGCAATTTGGTAATCTAGCTAAGCACACCTTGGAGCCCCAGGTGTGGCCCAACTGTGGCCCAACTGTACCTAGCTAGATTACCAAATTGCCAAATGATTACCTGTGAAGATTGACAATCCAGTCTACCAATGATATTTCCTGTCCAAACTCAACTCCAATTTAACACGCATAGAACGGTAACAATAAGCATGAACGGTGAAACACCATGACTGGTAACAATCAGTATGAATACTATGGTGTGCTCTGTGACTGGTAACAATCAGTAGAATAACTATGGTGTCTTCTGTGTCTGGTAACAATTCAGTAAGAATACTATGGTGTGCTCTGTGACTGGTAACAATCAGTATGAATACTATGGTGTGCTCTGTGACTGGTAACAATCAGTATGAATACTATGGTGTGCTCTGTGACTTGTAACAATCAGTATGAATACTATGGTGTGCTCTGTGACTGGTAACAATCAGTATGAATACTATGGTGTGCTCTGTGACTGGTAACAATCAGTTGAATACTATGTGTCTCTGTGACGGTAACAATCAAGTAGAAAATACTATGGTGTGCTCTGTACAGTAACAATCAGTATGAATACTATGGTGTGCTCTGTGACTGGTAACAATCAGTATGAATACTATGGTGTGCTCTGTGACTGGTAACAATCAGTATGAATACTATGGTGTGCTCTGTGAACTGGTAACAATCAGTATGAATACTATGGTGTGCTCTGTGACCCCTGTTAGTAGGTGTTCCGCTCTGTCAAATTAACAGCCATTCTTCTGTTCTGTGTCTTATGAGAGTATAGTCGGTTTTACCATTCATCACTTTGTAGAGATAAACTATTTATTTTTCTGTTACCATCTTAATGTAGGTAATGAGAATTAGTCTTGCTGTTTATTGTATTTAATAGTTTTACTTTTTGTGTAGAAAAACAAAGAACAATTATATCTTATACTTCATCAATTAATTATTAATTCGATTCATGATAAAAATACGATGGGTCGCACATAAAAAATAATAAATTAATAGATAATGGGTAAGTGGCTCTAAAATGTTAATTTAAAAGGGTTGATTCAATCACTGATGATGTTTCATTAGAAATTTCCTGTTAATTTTTGTATTCTCGTATGCTCAGTGCTGAAAAAAGTAGAAAGCAGCTAAAAATAAATGTCCACAGAACTGCCTGGTGTGGAGATAAAAAGCCCGGCAAGGAAGCCCCTAAGATAGACCCCACAAACCCTACTCCAAGTATTATAGCGGAAGCAACTGCCCACTCTTATCACCAAAATGGTTAAAATTCAACACTTCCATTATCATGCATTCAAGTCTGGTCATGGACATAACAATGTTAGCTACCCCCATAGTAATCAGGACAGCTATATACGAACTATCTATCATGAGAGTCCCATAGCAAGTGATCAGGATGACAGCAAGGAAAGACTGTATCACCCAGAACCTAAACCTGTTGGAGACCCACAGCCCCAACAGTCGTCCCACCAGAATACATCCCCCAGTTATCAGGGCTATCACCAAAAACTCGTCTCCCTGCACTGAGCTCTCACACTTCTCACTCCTCTCCTTCTCATTGTTCTTTCTGAGAAGGGCGGGCAGGAGGAGGATACACCCGAACCCTTGTAGCAAGTTCAGGAAGTTCATCACACTCGCCTTGAAGAGCCGCATCTTGAAGTTAGGAGCTGTCTCCCCACTTGTCTAATTTCAATCCACTGCTCATCATCGCTTCACCACAGGTTGGAGAGGTTTGTAACTTGGTCCAGTCTCGTCCTTCAAGCAGCAGTGCAGCAGGATAATAGGAGGTAGGAAGATGGGTAGGGAAGTAAAAAGGATGAACACCCTCCATCCAACAGTACCGAGCAGAAAATATCCCAGCAGGGCCACCCAGCCACTCCCCGCAGCGAAGAAGAGGCTGTCAATGAAGACAGCAGTGCAGTAGACATGGTGACTGGACACGTTCTCCGCTACAAACACGCTGGAGGTGGAGATGTTGAGGCCCACACAGAAGCCAACACTTAGACGGGATGCCAAGATGAAGTAGTAGTTCTCAGGTACTATAGAGCAGAACAAGTTCGCTATTATTGAGATATATAGCGAGAATATGAGGACTGTCTACGTCCACATCTGAGGAAGAAGTTAGCGTTAGTATTCTTATTGAACAACCCTCCTTCACTACAATATTGAATTATCGTTAGTACTCTAATTGAAACAACCTCCTTCCACTTACAATATTGGAAGTTGTCGTGAATATTAGTACTTCTAATTGGAACAACCCTCCATCACTACAATAATTGAAGTTGGTCGGGAAATATTAGTATTCTAATTGGAACAACCCTCCTTCGCTTACAATATTGAAGTTGTCGTGAATATTAGTACTCTAATTGGAACAACCCTCCTTCACTTACAATATTGAAGTTGTCGTGAATATTAGTACTCTAATTGGAACAACCCTCCTTCACTTACAATATTGAAGTTGTCGTGAATGTTTATAAATACTTTTCCCTCTATCCTCCCTTAGTACCGACTACGATACCCAACTATTCACATAAATACAATATCTTACTATATAAAGCGAGACGATATATATATGTATGGATATATGTGTTTGTCCGTACCATTTTACTGACACCGCGACATCAACTTTAACGCTGCTTTCCACAAAAACCGTAAAAGATATACAACTGCTTTAATGGCTTTAATGGCCTCCAAATCAGCATGAAAAAATAAAAAGTTGGCCAAGAAATAGGAGTTTTAGAGTCCAAAATTTGGACCCCCAAGTGGTGTCAAAAACGCGAATTAAATAGGTAATAATTATTTAAGTCTTGAGTCTTGACACCATTTTAGGGTTATACGGGTTCCTGCTAGTCAGTACAACGTTCAAAGTAACTAGGAACTTTTAAACGAGCCCCATATTTACAACTATATGTAACATTACTTTTTGTTGTTGGACCTGACCTGTTAGAGATAGGAGCAGTAACGACAGTGGATACAGTCAGGGCGATATAGAACGCTATCCCCAGCCATCCCTCCTGGGCCTTAGTGGCCCCCATCTCGCAAGATATTATCTGAGGGGAGGGAATTAGTGGCCCCCAACTCGCAAGATATTATCTGAGGGGAGGGAATTAGTGGCCCCCATCTCGCAAGATATTATCTGAGGGGAGGGAATTAGTGGCCCCCATCTCGCAAGATATTATCTGAGGGGAGGGAATTAGTGGCCCCCATCTCGCAAGATATTATCTGAGGGGAGGGAATTAGTGGCCCCCATCTCGCAAGATATTATCTGAGGGGAGGGAATTAGTGGCCCCCATCTCGCAAGATATTATCTGAGGGGAGGGAATTAGTGGCCCCCATCTCGCAAGATATTATCTGAGGGGAGGGAATTATTGGCCCCCATCTCGCAAGATATTATCTGAGGGGAGGGAATTAGTGGCCCCCATCTCGCAAGATATTATCTGAGGGGAGGGAATTAGTGGCCCCCATCTCGCAAGATATTATCTGAGGGGAGGGAATTAGTGGCCCCCATCTCGCAAGATATTATCTGAGGGGAGGGAATTAGTGGCCCCCATCTCGCAAGATATTATTTGAGGGAGGGAATGATAAGAAACATATTTCAATCTGCATACTGGTTATGGTTAATGAATAATGGTATCTCAATTTATGTCATATTTATGTAGATCGTGAATTTGTTAGACGATTGAAGAGGTAAACTACTACACCCCCCCCCCCCCCCCCTACACCCCCACTACATTATAACTACCTGAGTAACTATTCCTGGAAGGTATATCTCGATACACCCCCACTACATTATAACTACCTGAGTAACTATTCCTGGAAGGTATATCTCGATACACCCCCACTATATTATAACTACCTGAGTAACTATTCCTGGAAGGTATATCTCGATACACCCCCACTACATTATAACTACCTGAGTAACTATTCCTGGAAGGTATATCTCGATACACCCCCACTACATTATAACTACCTGAGTAACTATTCCTGGAAGGTATATCTCGATACACCCCCACTACATTATAACTACCTGAGTAACTATTCCTGGAAGGTATATCTCGATACACCCCCACTACATTATAACTACCTGAGTAACTATTCCTGGAAGGTATATCTCGATACACCCCCACTACATTATAACTACCTGAGTAACTATTCCTGGAAGGTATATCTCGATACACCCTCACTACATTATAACTACCTGAGTAACTATTCCTGGAAGGTATATCTCGATACACCCCCACTACATTATAACTACCTGAGTAACTATTCCTGGAAGTTATATCTCGATACACCCCCACTACATTATAACTACCTGAGTAACTATTCCTGGAAGGTATATCTCGATACACCCCCACTACATTATAACTACCTGAGTAACTATTCCTGGAAGGTATATCTCGATACACCCCCACTACATTATAACTACCTGAGTAACTATTCCTGGAAGGTATATCTCGATACACCCCCACTACATTATAACTACCTGAGTAACTATTCCTGGAAGGTATATCTCGATACACCCCCACTACATTATAACTACCTGAGTAACTATTCCTGGAAGGTATATCTCGATACACCCCCACTACATTATAACTACCTGAGTAACTATTCCTGGAAGGTATATCTCGATACACCCCCACTACATTATAACTACCTGAGTAACTATTCCTGGAAGGTATATCTCGATAGCATCCCCACTACATTATAACTACCTGAGTAACTATTCCTGGAAGGTATATCTCGATAGCATCCCCACTACATTATTTAACTACCTGAGT